GACGTGAGGTCAGAGAGGTGCGGGGAGGCAGATAATGAGGGTGTTGAGATCCACGTGGGGACTTCGGCTTTCACCAAATGAGCTTTGAACTAGTGCAGTAACGAGGCAGCGTGGTCTGGCTCAGATTTCATTAAGATCTGCCTCTCGCTGCTGCGCCCGGAGAGATTGCCAGGGCAAGTGGCAGGCGGGGAGGCAGGACGCCCGGGGCAGGGGCTATGGCAGAAGTACAGGTGGGAGAACGGGGCACAGGGAAGTGGTAGGATTCTGCGTCCATCAAGGAGAATGAGCTGAAGTTGCCTTTTTGTAGATAAGAACAGTTGAATAATAGCACTCTCGTCTAGCTCTGTCTGATCGTTTGAAAGAGTGATCAGGATGTGAGGGAGGGTTGAATGTGGCGCGTGAGAGGCAGAGAAGAATTCAGGATGACTCCAAGGATTCTGGCCTGGGAGGAGGAGAGAGTCGCCATTCATCAAGGCGGGCAGGCCGGAGAGGAGGGGAGGGGATGGGCGGGCGTTCTGTGCTGGACTTGCTGTGCAGGTCATGTCCCGTTGGCGTCCTCGCTCTGGAATAAGTAGTCTAGGTCCGTAGGCGTGGATGGGTACCCGCTGCCTTCCGCAGAGGGCTCTGCCCTGTTGAGAGGTGTTTATCTGAAGGAAAGAAGCCCAGGCTGGACTTCCCAGTGGATCAAAGCGACCACCTGAGTCCTCACACCCCCATCTCTTCATTTTTTTTAACAAATGGGCCTTCTTTTTTAAAATTTTTTATTTATTTATTTTTAGAGGGAGGGGAAGGGAAGGAGAAAGAGTGGGAGAGAAACACCAGTGTGTGGTGTCCTCTCACGTGTCCCCTACTGGGGACCTGGCCTGCAACGCAGGCATGTGCCCTGACTGGGAATCACAATGGTGGCCCTTTGCTTCACAGGTCCATGCTCAGTCCACTGAGCTACACCAGCCAGGGCTGCATCTCTTAATTCTTTAAAAATTTAAAGATTTTTTAGAGAGAAAAAAGGGGAAAGGCGAACCACCCGACGCGGCCCCTAAAATATTTTATTTATTTATGCTTAGAGAGGAGACAGGAGGAAGAGAAGCATTGATCAGTTGGCTCTTGCATGCCCCCAGCTGGGGACCTGGCCCATGACCCAGGCATGTGCCCTGACCAGGGATCGAACCAGTCACCTTTGAGTTCGCAGGCCAGCACTCAGTCCACTGAGCCACATCAGCCAGGGTCGCCCATCTCTTGATCGTTGCCACAGTGCAGGTTGTCTGTGCAACCAAAACTGTGTCCCCACAGCCTCTTGCTCCATCACCTGCTTTCCCAAGTGTTGCTCTGTTTGCATGAAGCTACTCCGCTGTCCATTCACTCCCCCGTGGGGAGCTGCCCACGCCATCAGGTTCTCCCACTGTGACTCACACATGGAGAACGAGGTTCAGAAACATGAAGGGACTTTCTCACAGTTCCATGGTTCAAAAGTGGCAGCCCACACAGGGTGCTCTGTATCAGGGTTAGGTTCTTCTTGTAAGGGCCACTCTCCACGTGCCTCAGAGAGCCATCCCCAGACTTGCACACCCCTGCAGGGATTCCCCATCATGCCCTTGAACTGGGGTTCCCTTGTCAATCGATGCATGGACCATTTCTGGGCGCCTCCTGCATACGTGGCCCTGGGCTGGGGGTTGGAGGGTGTGGGAGGTGTGGGAGAGGAGTTGGAGCAGGGCTGGTGTCCATCCTCGAGGGCTCACATTTCTGTAGGAGAGAGGATGCATTCACAGACATGGGGGGCACGGCGTGGGGAGAAACCCCAGTTTGGCATCACAAGGCCTGGGTGCCCGTCTCAGATCCCTGCTGCCGTGTGGTCTGTTTGGCACCTGTTGCCAGAGCAGGTGAAGCCTGCTTTCTCTTCTGCGAGCTGAGCCTACTGCTGTTCTTCCTCTCTACTTCTGGAAGTTGTTCCAAATCAGCCAGCCAGTCAGTGACCACGTAAGTGCTGTAATAAAGTGTCACTGAAACAGAAGGGGTCCTTATCACTCTCTGGTAATAATCACTTACCTGCCTGTCAAGGCCATGCATACCAAAAGGCTTCCGTAGGAGGCGAGACTCAGGCTGGGCCCAGAGAGGTGGGCCATGCACTGCAAGCTAGGATACGTATCAGTCTGCATTGGGCGTGGCCTTGGACCGGCTCCTGGATGGAAACTGAGTGGGTGGGATTAGTGGGCCTGCTGAGCTGAGAGCAGGGTGGGGGACTGTCCGCCAACAGTAAACTGGGTACAAACACGGGTCCATTCACACAGTAGCCCACCCTGTACAGCAGTCGGGACTGGGTGTGCCCACTCACACTCAGCCCCAAGGATGACACCCACAAGCGCAGTGTGAGTGAAAGAAACCAGACATGAAAGACACATCCTGTAGTCTCTCTAGGAGGATCCCAAATGTGCAGAATTAATCCACGTGGTTAGGAGTCGGAGTGAAATTGAAGAGTGAAAGTAGGCTGAGGAAAGGAAGGCAGGGTATGCGGGTCTCCGTGAAATATTTTCTTACAGTGGAATAATTCTAGCATGTAGATAGTTAAATAGTTCAAATAGATAGATAATTCAGGGTCAGGAGAAGGCCTCAAATGCCCTAGTAATAAGCTGAGACTTTGTCTCTTAGGCAGTAGGGAGCCAGGGAAGGTTTAGAGGGAGAGTAGAGATTATCCTTTTGTTCATTCATTCATTTACTCAACAAAAATGTAACTTATTTAAGCTGACTTTTTTTGGCTGAGCGCCTACTATGTGCTAGGTACTGTTCTAGGTACCTAGGATACATCAATCAATGAAAGACTTTCCTTTAAGGGACTTATATGCTGGTAGGACGAAATGAGAAGAAACCTAGTAAACTAGTACATAACAGGAACATGTGGGAAGGTGGCAGGTACTACATAGAAAAGAAAAAACAGAGAAGGGCAAGGAGAGTGTATTGGGGGTGCTGGGGTGGGGTACAGGTGGCAACCTTAAACGGGGCTGGTCAGGGCAGACCTCGCTGAGAAACAAAGACTGCCGGACATCTGGGGGAAGAACGTCTCAGGCAGAGACAGCGAGTGCAAAGGCCCTGAGCCCGGTGTGTTCAGAAAACAGGTCCCTGGCAGGGATGATGCCGGAGGGGCAGCGAGAGAGGTCGAGGGTCGGTGGGAAGAGGCTCCGCATAGGCCGTGGTAGGCAGCTCTGGTGGGGTGTGTCAGGCGGAGATGTCGGTAGGCAGTTGAATGTAGAGTTGGGGATTTAGAGAGCAGTGGGGTGGGAACATAGACTTGGGAGTCATTCGTGCGTAGATGGGACTCAATGAGGCAGCCAGGGAGGTGGGAGCAGATGGAGAAGACAGAGGAGTGGAAAGGACTGAGCCCCCGGCACTCTGACATCCAGCGGGGGAACCAGCAAAGAGACTTACTTAGAAGGGGAGATGGAGGAAGAAGGGGGAGGCCAGGGGAGTGTGGACAGGGACCAGGACCCCTAGGACACGAACAGGAGAGACCAGAACCCCATGGAAATAGTTCGAGAAGAGGTGAGGGACCATTCCTGGGGCCAGGTGGGAGGGGCCGGGTGGGAGATGTTCTCCTCCCAAGGTTGCCCGTGAACAAACCAAGGTGCGGAGAGGTGAAGATTTAGCCTCTTGCCCAAGGTCACACCACCTGAAAGAGGTGGAGCCAGTTGTGCTGAACTGTGCAATAAACGATATACACGTGGTCGAAATGCATGCACTTTAAGTATTAACAGAAATTCTGTGATGTTTCTGCATGGCAAGGACGAGGAAGCTCAAGAGGGTGGGCTATGAGAGCAGTACAGCCTCACCTTCCAAAGCAAAAGAAAATAGTGATTATAAAGTACTAGTAAAGACAAATTGCTTAAAATGTGGAAGTAGATACCGGAAAAAAGCTAGCATATTTTACCCCTAAACTAAGGGCGGGGGAGTGATGAGGCAGGGTACTATTTTCTTTTTCACAGTTTGACTTTTTAAATTATGTGCAAATATAACTTTGACAATAATAAAAATGATAATTATTTACATTTTTAATTAGAAGGTAGGGGATTAACCATTGTAAACAGGTGTCTCCAGGTGGATGAGATCGTGGGTGGTCTTTTTTCAATTGTTTATATTTTCTGAGCTTTCTATAACAAATACCTAATTCTTTGCAAAAAAGGGAAAGAAAGATTAGTTGATTTCGGGTCTTGGAGGAAACAATCTCAGTACAGTATGTGTTTGAATGTATTCCCCCATCTTTCCCAAGAAAGTTCTTAGAGTTATAGTCAGAGACAAGGGAGGGGGGTGGCTTGTCTGGACTCACTGGGCCCCCAGGCCCTCGGTGCAGGACCAGGGCAGCTGCACAGACTGAGGTGGCTGGCGCCCTAGGCTCAGTGACTTACAAAGCTGTCTCCCATCCCATTGGGCCTTGGAGCTTACACCCCACAGTGAGGTGGGTGGGGTGGGGGATGACCTTCCCCATTTTCAAACAGAGGCATGAAATCTCGTGGAAATTTTCTATCCTTTCTTGGAAGAGGCAAAGAGAGGAAGTGGCCTCTTCACCCATGTGCACATGTTGTTTTGATAAAATAAAAAATTACTTAGGGGAAAAAAAAAAGAGTAGAAATCCAGAATGACAGAAAGCAGACCAGTGGCTGGATGGCTATGCAGGGCACGGGGAGCTCTCGGAATGATGGACATACTCTGCACCTTTACCTGCCAATCGTTTTGCAGGGTGTGCAACTGTTACCCCATCGGATTGTGCGCTTTCAATGGGTGCAGTTTATTGTGCTTAAATGATACTGCAGTTGAGAGAGAGAGAATATGGGGAAACGGGGACAACTGTGACCTCCGCAGAGGGCTCACACCTGGAACCACACCTGATGGTTTGCCCACTTACCCTCTGACCCCGTGGTGCGTGGAGCGTCTCTCCGGCCTCGCCACTTCCCTTGAGGGAGAGGCCAGTTCCTGAGAAGGTGGCCACAGCACTGAATTGTGCCCTCTGTCCCCAGGACTCCAATCTGTCGGTGTACACGCACAACCCAGACCTCACTCCGTGCTTCCAGAACTCCCTGTTGGCCTGGACCCCCTGTTTCTACCTGTGGGCCACCCTGCCCTGCTACCTGCTCTACCTTCGGCGCCACCACAGAGGCTACATCATCATCTCCCACCTCTCCAGGCTCAAGACGGTCAGGGCTCAGGGCTTGCCTTCGGGTGGGGGTGGGGTGCTTTTCTTAATGAATTCCTTCCCCCTCCCTCAGCAGCTGGACAAGCTTCCTTAGCCTCACCAGCTGGCCCTGGGGCCATGGCAGCTTGCCAACTGGGTTTGCAGCCAAATGAAATATTCCCTTCTTGGGGTGGTGCAACCGAATTTTCCATCAAGGTTTTCCCACCCTTAAGAAACTTCCTACCAATGCCCAGCCCAGCTCTCAGGGCTGGGCTCAGGCAGGTCTGGTAGCCTCAGGAGCAGGGAGGAATTGTCCCTTCCTCTGGGGACACACCCTCCAACATGCGTCTTGTTTGTAGGCCGTGGGCATCCTGCTGTGGTGCGTCTCCTGGGCCGACCTCTTCTACTCCCTGCATGACCTGGCCCACGGCCAGGCCCCTGCCCCCATCTTCTTTGTCACCCCCTTGGTGGTGGGGGTCACCATGGTCAGTGTGGGGCCCGGGAAGCTGAGTCGAGGAGGGTCTGCCATGGGTGTGGGATGGTGATGGGGGACCCATGGGTTCCGAGGAGAAGACTGGACACCTGGGCGATGGGAAGGAGATGGGGGTGACCCCACAAACATCCAGCCATGCGGGATGGGGAAGGAACGGGGGCAAGTCCAGATGTGCATGCCCTGGCCCAGCTTCCCCTGCCCTCCCTGCACAGCTGCTGGCCGCCCTGGTGATCCAGTATGAGCGGCTGCAGGGGGTGCAGTCCTCGGGGGTCCTCATCATCTTCTGGTTCCTGTGTGTCATCTGTGCCATCGTCCCCTTCCGCTCCAAGATCCTTTCAGCTGTGGCAAAGGTAAGGGGAAAAGGGCACCTGCTCAGTCCAGCCCTGTGCCCCTAGGGGGTCACCTCAGGGCTCGAGGTCACTGCTGGGTCCCGGGCTCCTCCCCTCTGCCCCTCTGGAGGTTCAGTCCTCTTGTGTCGTTCTCTCCTTGCTGTATCTTCTGGGAAGCAGAGTGGGGCGGGGGCGGGGGGAGTGCTCAGGCTGAGCGCCACTGTAATTCCGGAGAATGGGGCCATTGTTGGCTATTTACGGGAGTGCAGGGGGCTGTTCTGTAGCCACCACCAACTGCAGGGTCCGGTGGGGTTTTCCAAGGTCTGTAGTGAACGTGTGTTTGCAGACACACGTGGATAGGTCTGGCTTACCCGGACTTTCCATGCCATCGTTTTCCCCTTTCTTCTCACCTGTCTCAGTTCCTAGCCTTCCTTTTGATCTGCATTGAGGCTGATGGTGGGGAGTAGGAACACTGAGGGTCAGGCCAGTGTCTCCCCATTTCTCCATCTCAAGGGGAGGTAGTCAAATATACTCATGAGAGCACAGCCTTGGAATAATGCACTTATTCTGTGTGATCCTGGGCAAATTCCTTAGTCTTTCAGAGCCTCGTTTTCTCAGGTGTACACTGGGTGTCAGAGGCTTCCTACCTTGTAGGGGTGACAAGGGGGTCAGACAAGGCAATGAAGGCAAGCCCTTGGCACAGTGCCCGACATAGGGCAAGTCCCCACTGAACAAACAGTGGCCCCCTATGACCCCACCCGTCTCAGAGGAGCCTGAGGTTCTGCAGCTCTTCCCGGTTGTCCCCGCAGGGCAAGATCTTGGACCCCTTCCGCTTCACCACCTTCTACATCTACTTTGCCCTGGTGCTCTCCGCCTTCATCCTGTCCTGCTTCAGGGAGAAGCCACCATTGTTCTCCCCAAAGAACGTTGACTCTGTGAGTTTTCCGTGGAGGCCGGTAGGAACAGAGGCTCCACGCCCACCCCTCGGCTAGCCCTTACCTGCATTCCCCCATCCCTCCCGGTCCCTTCCATTCCCGGATCATCTCTACAATGTGCCATCTGGGGCTTGCAGCTGGAAGGCCAGAGGGCCTCCTCCCTCTACTCTGCCTTGAGAGGGGGGGCATTCCTGACTTCTCCCTTTCCACTCACTCTCACCTTCTAGAACCCCTGCCCAGAGGCTGACGCTGGCTTCTTCTCCCGCCTGACCTTCTGGTGGTTCACAAAGTGAGTTGGCTCCCCCTCCAGCCTGGGCGAGAGGGAGGGGTCAGGAGACAGGGGTCAGGGGAGGAAGGGGAGCAGGCTGGAAGTTCAGGGGCCTGAGGAGCTGGGCCTGGCTGGCCCCTCTGCTGCAAACCCCAGCCTCAGCCATGGGGCAGAAGAGGATGGGGAAACTGTTTAGGCTGGAGGCTGAGTGCAAGGGCCAGGCGTGGCCCCGCCCTGACCCCAGGCCACAGGCCAGCCCTGCATCTATCTAGCAGGTGGCTCTCAGGTGTCCAGGAGAGGCCCAGGGTCTAGAAGAAAACCATAATTAGTTCTACACTTCTATCACCTCCTTGGCCACCTGTCAGAGAGGCTTGAGCAGGATAATTGTGTCCCTGACCTGGGCGACAGCTCAGTAACTGTGCAGCACTGAAGAGGAACCCAGCCCGCATGACTTTCATTACCAGGGCCCAGGGGTCAGTGGGGCATCTGGGGAAGAGGGAGAGAAGGGGCCTGAGATGGAACTTGGGGTGGGAGGCAGTGGCTTCAGCTTGTTCTCACTGTGGCAAATAAAGGAGACGCCTCCCTTAACCACAGCACCCTAGGGAGACCCTCCTTTCTGGAGACCTTGGTCCCAGCTCCAGGCTGCTAAACTCTGATTCCCATTTGGGGCCATCTGCCTGCCCCAGGTTGGCCATTCTCGGCTACCGGCGTCCTCTGGAAGAGAGTGACCTTTGGTCCCTGAACAAGGAGGACTGCTCCGAGGTGGTGGTGCAGAGGCTGCTGGAGGCCTGGAAGAAGCAGCAAAAGCAGGCAGCACGGTGAGTACCCCCCCCCCCCGCCCCGCCCCAGTGCCCACGCCTCTCCACCCAGTCCCTGCATGCACCCAGGTCTCCTGCAGGGGAGGCTGCTGACCAGGGAGGGTTGCAAGGCTGGGGGTGGGGAGAAGAGCAAGGGTAGGGGGTCCTGAGGTGGGAGGCTCAGGCCTGGGTACGGCGGCTCTCCCCAGCTGTCCTGAGGCCGGAGGATGGCTGCCGCTTTTGCAGCACTTACTCCACCCAAGGCGTGGCCCTGAGCACAGAATGAACCTGGTCTCCAACCCCCCTACAGTGTGTATTCTGCTGTCCCCTTGTTGCAGAAGGGGACACAGAGGTTCACTTTGGGTTCAATGCTACACCCAAAGTCCCCCGGTTGGTGGTGGCACAGCAGGAACCCACACCCAGTTGTCTGGCTCCCCTGCCCTTACCCTGCACCACCCTGCCCAACGTGGAGGTAGATTCCAGGGCCTCCCCTCAGGAGGAGCAGGGCCTCTAGTCCTGCCTTGTCCTGTCTGAAGGCAGTGGCTGGAGAAGACAACTCTCCAGCCAAGGAGCCTTCCCACGGGCAGCCTCCCTGTCAAGGACCCCACCCCTGGCTCACTGGCAGCCACGAGAGATGGAGCTCTGAGTCCTCCTTTCCTCCACCTCTGACTCTGGGGCTGAGCCCCCACCAACCCGGGGCCCGGGACTCCAGTGCCTTTTCAGTCAGGCGTCCCTGACACCAGCTGGCTTTTGGAGGAGAGGAGCCTGGCCCTTGGGCTTAGTCAGCAGTGTCTTCGCTTCTACAGTGTGGAGCCTCTGGGAAGCCCCATGGCTCCTGTGTCTTCCCGGCACCCCCCCTCTGGCCCTCCACATCACCTCTACCCCCTCCCTGTGCAGCTCCCTGTGACTAAGCCACTAGCCTTCCCCGCCTGTGTGTCCCTTCCCTCACTGCATCCTCCCTGGGGAGGTCGGGCCAAGCCAGAGGTGGGGGGTTGCCTCAGAGGTGGGTTATAGGCCTCAGATGTCAGACACCGCTTAATACCCTCTGGCACAGGAGGACAGAATCTCTTGTGGAATTTACCTGGAAAGTCGTGTTGTCCATCCTCCTGCCCCGGCCCCCAGTCCTGAGAGCCCAGAAAGCAGTGCCCCTCTCCTCCCCACCCATCCCAGGCACTTGGCTTCACGGGCCCATTACCCACTGCTCCTTCCTTCCCAATCGGACACAGGGTCGCAGTGGCTTCTGGGAAGACAGTCTCCAGGGAGGACGAGGAGCTGCTGGGGGGCCGGTCCAGGCCCCGGGAGCCCTCCTTCCTGAAGGCCCTGCTGGTCACCTTCGGCCCTGGCTTCCTCATCAGCTCATGCTTCACGCTGGCCCAGGACCTGCTCTCCTTCGTCAGTCCCCAGCTGCTCAGGTCTCCGCACGATTCCCCTTGCTGCAGCCCTCCCCTGGGCGGGGCGGTGGCTGGCTGTCCCTGAGGACTGAGCCCAGAGGAAGGGACAACATATAGTGAAAAGAGTCCCAGACCAGGAACTGAAGGGACTCTGTCCACTTTCTGTGTGCCCTTTGGCAGTGGCAGTGGCAATGGCTCTGCCTCCTTGTTTCTCCATTCATATCCAGCTTGTCTTTACCATATTACGTGCCGGACTCCCTTGTGGATGCGTTAAAGAAAGAACAAACATTCTTTCTTCAAATCCCACAGAGAAGTGTCCCTACTCCCATTTTACAAACAAGGAAGCCGCAAAACTAAATTTTTTTAAATAATAAAAACAAGTGAGGAAGCGGCAACTCAGAAAGGTGAAGTGACTTACCCAAGGGCACACAGCCGATAAAGTTGGATTTGAGTCCAGGGCGCTGAACTGCAGCTACACAGCACTCTTCCCAGATGACAGGCAGGCTCTATCATTTGTCATAGGAGTGGCTTGAGTTCTCAATAGAGGAGGAGGAAAGAGCGCTACCTAGCAGCTGAACCACTAGCTCCTTGCCACTCCATTCATGCTTTTGTTTATTCAATGACTGTTGAGCCCCAGGGGACCGAAGAGCTATGGTCTTAATGTCTTGTGGGGGAAACCACTGGGTGAGTCCATTAGGGCACAGTGCTGGCGGAGGTACTCAGGTGTCTGGACCCCAGGAGGAGTACAGAAGCCAGCTTGGGAAAGAGCATGATATGTTTCCCAGCCAGGGAAAGTATAAAATTTGGAAGCACAAGCAGGGGTTAGTTAACCAGGGGAGGAAGGAGGGAAAGGGGCAGCCGAGCCAGAGTCACAAAGGCCTGAGACAGCAGGAGTCAGGAGATCCAGGCATTCCTGATGGCCGGGAGGGATGCTGGAGGGAAGCATGAGCAGAGGGAAAGGCAGAAAGACAAAGGGAGAGGGGAGAGTCAAGGAAATTCTTGAAAGATTTGCAGCCAGGGAGGGGCAGCTGGTTTGTATTTTGGAAGGATCCCCTGCCAGCAGTTTGGGGGATAACAGAATAGGGGGCCAGATGAAAGTGGGTTGACCAAGGCAGATGGGAGCCCAGGCCAGGAGTCAGACAGGATTCAGAAGCAATGCTGGAGATGAGGGGTGTGCCAGGAGAGGGAGGGGTCAAGGGCGACTGGAGGATGATGGATGTTTTGCTGAGATGATGAACTCAGTGGGAGGAGGGGGCTGGATAACAGACAAGGTAGTGAGTTGAGTCGTGACCACATGGTTCTGTAGTTCAGCTGGGTCCCCCAAGATGAGACTGCCATCCAGACGAAGGTCACATTTCAGAGCCATTGGTGGAAGCCCAGGGTCTCATATCTGTGGCTAAGCTTTGCCAGGTGGGGGCCCCAGATAGAACCTTGGGGAGTTCTGACAGGTAGGGGGTGGGCAGAAGCCTGGCGGGGAGGGGCCAGGGATGGAGGAGCAGGGCGCTTGCAAGATGGCCAGTAAAATGGAGCCCGAGGAAGGCCACAAGGATTTTGTTTGTGACTTTGCCAAGAACAGAGACTGGGACAGAGGGAAAGGCCCTGAGAGCAGGGGGTCTACAGGGGAGACGGGGGCCACAGAGGTCTAGAGACTTCCCGTATAGAAAGATGCATTCATTTCCTGTGGCTGCTCAACAAATTGCCATGAACTGGGTGGCTTAAAACAACAGCAGTTTGTTCTCTCCCAGCTCTGGAGGCCAGAAGGCTGAAACGAAGGTGTCGGTGGGGTCGGTTCCTTCTAGAAGTTCTGAATGGGAATCTGTCCCTTGCCCCCTAGCTTCTGGTGGTTGCCGGCAGTCCTTGGCATTCCTCAGTTTGTAGAGGCGACACTCCTATCTCTGCCTCCTCCTTCTCATGGCCCTTTCATGAGTGTATCTGTGTTTCTATGCAAATCTCTCCTTCTCTTATAAGGACACCAGCCATTGGATTAGGGCCCACCCTAATGATCTCATCTTAACTTGATTGATTATGTCTGCACAGACCTTCTTTCCAAATAAGATCACATTCACAGGTACCAGGGTTTAGGACTTGAATGCATATTTTTGGGAGGCACATTCAACCCCCAGAAGGAGAGGCCTGGCTGTGACTATAGAGGTAGATCCACATGGTCAAGGCAAGGTGTGTCCCAACGTGGAAGAGAATTGGTCATGTCAAAGGAAAAGGTACAGAGCTGCCAGCAGAAACGAAGCTATTGAAGATCAGGAGCAAGGGGGGCGATGATGGAGCATGTTCCCGAGGAGGTAGATGGGATCCAGAGCTTAGCTGGGCAGGGTCAGGCCAGGAGAGCTGGAGGGACATGTCTCCTCAGGCAGCAGAGAGGGAAGGAGGCAAATGTTGGAAGGGAAGTTTGTGGTTGGCGGGGAGTTCATAATAGGTGAGTCAGGTGGGAGGACTTAGTGGGTAGCCACTCAGAAGGTAAGAGAAGAGAGATAAAGAGGGTGGTGGAAGACAAGGGGAGGGAGGGCCCTGGGCCAGGTCACCAGCTAGGGCTGGAGCCAGCCGATGTTGGAGAGGATGGATTTGAGGGGCGAGAGCCTATGTGGTCATGCAGTATGCTCTGAGCCCTCAGCAGTCCAGGAGAAGGCACAGGAAATTCTAATCAAGAAACATGTAGTATTACTTCCTGCCATGTGGTCCCAGCAGGCAAGAAAGGCAGGCAGATGAGGCTGGGGGTGAGAGTTCTAGATGGGAGGTGTAGCGGGGGCTGTGGCAGACAGAAGAGGAGGTGAAGGCAGCAGGGAGCAAGGAGGGAGGGTCAGGGTCTTGAGGCAGTACTGGGCTGGGTCCCCCTGGGTGGGGATGGGGAGGAGGGTTAGCAGTCACCACCTGAGAGGTTTCAGAGGAGGGGGCAGAGTGGAGGCTGAGGGTGAAAGGGGAGGGGAGCAGTAGAGGAAGTACCTAGGGAATGCCCCGCCCCCCCATGCTGACCTTCATGCCTCTCTCCTGCCCTTGCAGCATCCTGATCAGATTTATTTCAAACCCCACAGCCCCTAACTGGTGGGGCTTCCTGGTGGCCGGGCTGATGTTCATGTGCTCCGTGATGCAGACACTGTTCTTGCACCAGGCTAACCGTTACATCTTTGTGATGGGGTTGAGGCTTCGTACGGGGATCATCGGTCTCATCTATAGGAAGGTTGGCTGGTACAGGGCTCTGGGGGCCGGGGAGGCTGGCCCTGGAGAGCTCTGGACAATGTCACTGGCCCAGTTCATCACCCGCTGTCCACCTGCAGGCTCTGGTCATCAGCAATTCAGTCAGACGTGAGTCCACCGTGGGGGAAATTGTCAACCTCATGTCAGTGGATGCCCAGCACTTCATGGACCTCACCCCCTTCCTCAACCTGCTGTGGTCAGGGCCGCTGCAGACCCTCCTGGCCATCTACTTCCTCTGGCAGGTGACTCTCTGGCCCCTTCCTCTATCCTTGACCTTGCTGGGGAAGGGAAAGAGAGGGTTACTACTGGTCAGCAGAGGTGCATCATTGTGGACACAAGTGCTTCCCCAGATGGTGGGGTGGGAGTCAGGACTGCAGGCATGCTGATGCTGGTGTGTGCAACCGAGACTTCCCAGCCTGGGTGACTACCCTTCGCCAAGGTCCCAGGGGAGGAAAGAGGGACTAAGAGGCAGGGTGTGTGTGACTGCCCGTCACTGTGTCTGTATTTGCCCTCTTGTGTGTCCGGACACCCCTCCATGCCTGCCTGTTTGTGCCTGTTTGTCATCACTATTGGATGGCTGACAGCCTCTGCAGATGTTTTGGTCCTTTTGGCTTTCTCTACATATCTACTTTTTGCTGCCAATCTGGCTGATCGTAATCAATCGCTTCCCGTCCATCCCCATGTGTCAGATCGATAAGCCTCTGTCTGTGGGGTTCCATCTACATACACACTGGTTTAATATGTGCTTTCTAACCACCTGTGCCTCCTCAGAACCTGGGTCCCTCTGTTCTGGCAGGAGTCGCTTTCATGGTCTTGCAAATCCCACTCAATGCAGTTGTGGCCACGAAGACACATGCTTTCCAGGTGGGTGCTGTCACAGGTACACAGGCGCTCTGCCTGGAGTGCCTGGCCAGGTGCCTAGGGAAGGGTATTCACTATCCTGGGGCCCCTTGGTTATTTTGTTTACTAACAATGGGTGGGTACAAGTTACTTTCACAAACACTAGCTCACTCTATCCTCATAACAACCCTGAGAGTGTTTTAGAAACATTCTTTTTTTAAAAAAAGATTTCATTCATTTATCTTTAGAGGGGAAGGGAAGGAGAGAGGGAGAGAAATATCAATGTATGGTTGCCTCTCCTGTGTCCCCCAGTGGGAACTGGCTTGCAACCCAGGTATGTGCCCTGACTGGGAATCAAACCATAATCCTTTAGTTCACAGGCCTGCACTCAATCCATTGAGCTACGCCAGCCAGGGCGAGAAACATTCTTATGTTGCATCTGAGGAACCAATGCCCAGAGAGATTATGGCAGTCCAGAATCAGGCAGACCTGGGACTTAAATCTGCGTCTTCTGGTCTAATAGGAGTTTTTTCTGCCACACTGCACTGAGTGTGAATAGCCAGTCACCCAGTCCTTTTTTCTGCAAACATTTATTGAAGGCTTCAGTAGCTTCCTCCTGCATACAGAATGAATGACAAAGTCCCTAGGTCCACATACCAGGCCTCTGCTCACCTTGCAAGCCCGCACGCCTTGTGGTATGGCCAACTTTCAGCCGGTCTCGTCTTCTTACTTTTCTGCAAAGCACTGAGCTTTGCATACCTCTGGGCCACCATTCCCTGGAATACTCTTCCCTTCCTTGCCTGCTCAACTCGTTCCCTTGTCTCACCTCCCAACATAAACTCTGATTTCCTAGACTCTCACAGAATCCTATGGTTTCCCTCAGGATACACACGCTGATTTGTTAAGTATTTATTTAAATAACTGTTCACTTCCTACCTGCCTACCCATCAGACTGTCAGCTTCATGATGACTGGAGCCTTGTTTGAGCTGGTCATGCCTATCTATCCCATGCCTAGCACGTGGCCCGGCACACAGTAGGCACTCAATAAACAGGGGTCGAATGAATAAGTTTTATTTGGCGTGCTGCGTCCTCGATTAGGGTCAGGAGGCTGGCAGTCTAATTGGGGAAGTATCCATGTACTCTGGGGACAAAACGGAAGTACAGTGTGCCTTAGAGACCCAGGGAAGGGGGCAGAGGATGCTGCCTGGGAGGGACCATGACACTGGTGCCAAGGTTGGAGCTAGATTTTGTTGGGGGTGAGGGGAGGCTGAGCTGGGCCTTCCGGGCTGAGGCGCAGCACAGGCCCTGCAGCTGCAGTGTGTGCCCCTGTGTGGGGAACTATGAGCCCCCGAGGGTGGAGGTCTGTGGAGCGGAGCAGCGGAGCGTGCCACTACTACTCTCTCTGCAGGCAAAACAAATGAAGTTCAAGGACTCACGCATCAGGCTGATGAGTGAGATCCTGGGTGGCATCAAGGTGCTGAAGCTGTATGCCTGGGAGTCCAGCCTCTTGCAGCAGGTGGAGGGCATCCGGCAGAGTGAGCTCCGGCTACTGCGCCTGTCTGCCTACCTCCTTGCCATATTCATCTTCACCTGGCACTGCACCCCCTTCCTGGTGAGGCTCTCCTACCAGGGCTCCCACCTCCCACCTCCCACCTGGGCAGGCCAGGCCTCTGGGCCCAGCATATTCCACCCTGACATTCACCCCTACCGCTGCCCAGGTGACCCTCATCACCCTTTGGGTGTACGTGTCTGTGGACCCAAACAACGTGCTGGACGCCGAGAAGGCCTTTGTGGCTGTGTCCCTGTTCAATATCTTAAAGAACCCCCTCAACTCACTGCCCAGTTTAATCAGCGGTCTGACTCGGGTAACTGCAGGTGGGGCTGGGGGTTCTGCTGGAGGAGGGCAGGTTGTTGGGGTCACTCAGGGTCAAGAGATAATCAAGGAGAATTACTGGAATCAGGAGAGGGCCATCTAGCATTAAGAAGAATTGTTCAAAGTTGAATGAAGTCATTAGAATCAGGGGTCATTTGGGGTCAGAGGATGTCAGGTGGGGTCCCTGAAAACCTGAGTTCTGGAGGCAACCTCCTCTTACCAACCTGTACTCTGTCTTTGGCAGTGGGAGCCAGGGAAGAATTAATCCTACAAGGGGCTCCCAAACCAGTGTCTTGGCCTTCGGGCGGCTTGACCACACCCAGGAAGCTGGGGGCTGTCAAGTGTAAGAGGGAATGGAGGGGGATAGAGAATGCATGGCTTCCAGGGCTGACTCACACCCTCCTGCAGACCAGCGTGTCTCTGAAACGGATCCAGCATTTCCTGAGCCAAGATGAACTTGACTCCCAGTGTGTAGAAAGAAAGACCATCACCCCAGGTCCAGACACCACTACCTGGGCTGCTCTTGAAGCAGCCCCTGCTCCAAAAAATCCCTGTTCCAAGCTTTTATCTTTCCTCTTGTGACCCCTCTTTTTCTTCTTCTTTCATATCTTCAATTCTATGTCTGCCTTTGTCCTCTCTGGCTCTCTGCTCTCTGTTCCTTCATCCCTCTCCAAGCCTCCCCCACTCTCCTTCCTTCCCCAGGCCTCCCCATGCCCCTGTCCCAAGACTTCCTGCCCCCTTTCCTTGTGTGCCAAGCTCCCCTGCCTTCTCCCCTTGACCCCTTCCCTAGGGCTTCCCACCCCTCTCCTTCCCAACCTCCCCTAGGGATCCTGTCCCCCCTAACCCTGTATACCTTGACTCTTCCAGGCCATGCTGTCATCATAGAAAATGGCACCTTCACCTGGGCCCAGGACCTGTCCCCAACCCTGCACAGGTACCAGCTTCTCCTGTGCCTTCTGAGCTCCCTAAAGTGGGCCAAAGTTCAGATCAATAGCAAAACCTGCCCCTGACCCTTACTCCCAAGTGTCTGCCTAGAAAGTAGGAAGAGCCTCAATTGCCAGGGTTGTATCTGGGAGGGAAAAGGGCTTGGGTCTCCAGGTGGAAGGTTGGAAATCAAAAACCTGATCTTTGTCTTTGACTGGGCTCCTGGTCTCCCAGCTTAGACTTCCAGGTGCCAAAGGGGGCACTGGTGGCCGTGGTAGGACCCGTGGGCTGTGGAAAGTCCTCCCTGGTGTCTTCCCTTCTGGGAGAGATGGAGAAGCTGGAAGGCAAGGTGTATATGAAGGTGAGAAAGGGAGGGACTCCTGGGAAGGGAAGCTCGGTGAACCCCAAGGTAACTCTGGGGTTTTCCTGTGGCCAGGGCTCCGTGGCCTATGTGCCCCAGCAGGCCTGGATCCAGAACTGCACTCTTCAGGAAAATGTGCTATTTGGCCGAACCCTGGACCCCAGTCGCTACCAACAGGCTCTGGAGGCCTGTGCGCTGCTAGCTGACCTGGAGGTGCTGCCTGGGAGGGACAAGACAGAAATTGGAGAGAAGGTACGTGGTCCCCACCCATGCTCTGGGGAGTCAGCATATACAGCTGCCCATGGTAAACCAGCCCAGGTCCATGTATGCACTCATTCACTCATTCACACATTCATGTAATACCATGCCCAGCTCTGTGCTTAGGCGCTGGGGAAACGGATCTGTTGCTGGGGGTGGGGGAGCCAACCTGTGAGCAGGTGGGGGCTGAAAAATTCCTGCAGGTCAGGCTGAAGGCCTCTGCAGGGACAGGGAGGGCAGTGAGGGGGAAGTCTACATACGGAAAAGCATCACTTTGGAGCTGCATCTTAACAGCTGAGGAAGAAGGGCTCATCATTCATTCATTCATTCATTCATTCCTCAGATTTTATTACACACCTATATCCCAGACAGTACTATACAGTAGTGAGTACACAAGTCTTAAAATCTCTGCCTTTTTCTCTCCCTCTCTTTCTCCCTCCCTTTTCCTGTCTCTGAAAATAATAAATAAAATCTTAAAAAGAAAGTGCCCTGGCCAGCCTGTCTCAGTGGGTTGAGCATCGCTCCACAAAGGGAAATGTCCTTGGTTCGATTTCCAGGCTGGACACATGCCTGGGTTGTGGGTTTGGAGGGACAACCAATTAATGTTTCTCTCTCACATCAGTGTTTCTCTCTCTCTTTCTTCCTTCCTCTCCTCTAAAAATAATGCATAAATAAAAATATTTAAAATCTCTGCCTTCAGATAGCTTACCTCCTAGTACAGGGGGAATGATAAGCAAGATAAATAAATATGTAATATATGAGATAAATGCTAAGGGGGAAAGAATGGAACAGAGAAGAGATATAGGTCTATGTACAAGGCTATATTGTTAGGGGGCCTTGGGAAAGCCTCACTGAAGATGGGGAAGGAGGCAGTGGGCCACTTCTGGGGACATGGAGCCTTGCCTGGGAGAAAGGCCCCCAAGAGGCAGAGAGAGCAACAAGTGCAAAGCCCCTGAGGCAGAAGTGTGATTGAAGCATTTAAGGACCAGCAAGGAGGCCACTGTGGCTGGGGTGCAGTGAGCAGGGGTAAGGGGAAGAGCCGAGCCCAGCGAGGTGTCCAGGCAGCCATTTCCCATGCTGCCTTGCAGGCCACTGGCAGGGCTGGCTTTACCAAGAGGGATGGGAAGCCTTTGAAGGTGTGAGCTGAGGAAGGTGGGTCGACTAGTTAGGAAGGGGCGGGAAGGTACAGGGCACGGCAGAGCCTGGAAGACCTTGGTTAAGGTTTTGGCATTTACCCTAAAAACCATGAGTTATCAGTGAAAGTTTTTGGTTTTTAGTTTACTTATTTCTTTTTAATTGCTGCAAGATGTGCTTATGCAGAATTTACAGTCACCATTCTTTAAGCACGCAGGTCAGTGGTGCTGAATACATGCGCATTGTTGTACAGCCCTCCGTAACTCTGCTCATCTTGCAGAACTAAAACCGTGTGCCCTTGAAACAGTAGCTTCCCATCCTCCTCTTTCCCCAGCTCTTGGCGACCAGCTTTCTACTTCCTGTCTCTATGTATTTGATTCCTCCAGGCACGTCATATAAATGGAATCACATAGTGTGGTATCTTTTTTTGGTGACTGGCTTATTTCACTTAATATAAAATCCTCAAGGTTCATTCATATCATAGCATGAGTCAAAAGTTCTTTCCTTTTTAAGGTTAAATAATGTTCCGTTGTATGCGTACACCACATCTTGTTTATACACTTGTCAGCGGACACTTGGGTTGCTTCCCCCTTTGAGCTGTTGTGAAAAAGGCAGCTGTGAAGATGGGTGCGCAAATACCTCTTGAAGACCCTGCCTTCAGTTCTTCTGGGTGCATACCCAGAAGTGGAATTGCTAGATGATACAGTGATGCTGGGGGTTTTTGTTTTTTGTTTTTGTATTTTCTGAGGAACTGCCATCCTGTTTTCTGGAATGGCTGCACCATTTCACATTCCCACCAGCAGTACACAAGAATTGCAACTTCTACACACCCTGGCCAGCACTTGTGGGGGGGGGTTTGGGAGTGGGATGGTGTTCGTGTTTTTGACAGTGGCCATTCTGATGGGCGTGAGGTGGTATCTCACTGAGATTTGGATTTGCATTTTCATAGTGATCAGTGAGGTTGAGCATCTTTTCCTGTGCTTATTGTCCATTTGTGTGTATCTTCTTTGGATAAAGGTCCACAGAGTCCTCTGCCCATTTTGTGATCAAGTTTGATGTTTTCGTTGTTGAGTCGCAGGAGTTCTTTATATATACAGCAAGCCCTCAAATAACATCATTTCATTCAGTGTCATTGCATTATAACTTGGTAACATGCTGTAGGAACTTAACTCTTATTTATATCAAATATATCGATTGGTTTCATTATGTATCATTTAACTTAAGTCACAGTGAGTTACAGTAAGTGAGGACTTACTGTGCTGGACTTTAACCCCTTATCAGATATATGAGTTGCAAATATCTCCAATTCTGTAGGCTGCCTTTTCACTCTGTTGTGCCGTTTGGTGCACAGAAGTTTCCATTTTTATGTGATCCCACTTAATCTATTTCTACTTTTGTTGTCTGTGCTTTTGGTGTCATTAGCCAGAAAGTCATTGCCAAATCCAGGGTCATGAAACTTTTCCTCCATGCTTTCTTCTAGGAGTTTTAGCACTTTTGTTTTTAATACTAAAGATTTCAGTGTACATTCCCTCCAAACAATGACATTCCCTTACATAACCATAGATGAATTGTCAAAATCCAGAAATTTAATGTTGGTACAATATTACTATCTAAGTCACAGTCTGTACTCAAATGTCATCATTTGTTTCAGTACTGTCTTTTTTTAGCTATTTTCTTTCCTGGGCTAGGATCTAATCCAGGATCATGAGTTGCTTTTACTTGTCATATCCCTTTACTCTCTATCAATCTGGATAATTCCTCAATTTTTGTCTTTTAGGACGTCGACACTTTTGAAAAGTACTTTGTAGAATGTCTCTCATTTTGGACATAGTTAGATTCAGATTATGTTTTTTGGGGGGGAAACACCAATGATGTAAGGTTGTGTCCTTCTTGGTGCATGCTCTCTGGAGGCAGGTGAGGTCACTTGGTAGCTTATTAACAGTGTGAACTTTGACCACTTGATGGAGGCAGTATCTTTCACTGATCATTTTATTTCAGGACTTTCATTGATGATTCTCGCCTGAGTCAGTGTTTACTATGACATTTGCCAAGTGGTAATTTTCTACCTCCATTCATTCTCTAGTTATTAGTTGGCATTTTACTCCAAGAAAGAGCTTTCTCCTCCTTCCCCTTGTTCACTTATCCATTAATTTCTTTCTGTCACATGGGCTCACAGATTCTTGTTTGATCCAGTGGGTTATAATTCTGCACCATCATTATTTATCTTGATGTTCAATTTGTTAGTGCTGAGCAGGGGCAGCTGTAGGCCTGCTCCGGCTACAGTGTTGGGGGGTCCCAAAGGCACAGGCCCCAGTGAGGAGGCTCTCGTGGTGGTTTGGGGGATGATGAAGGCCCGAGCCTGAGCAGAGGACATGGGGAAAGTAGGAGTCCAAGGTTCTAGGAACCTAGGGAAGACCTGCCCATCTATGATGTGACTTCTTCTCCTTTCTTGGACCCATGCTGACCTCGCACACACAGAAACCCAATTAAGTACCCAGCACACAGTAGGCGCTCAAGGGAGATGTCAAATACAGGCATGCCCACATGCCTCAGTCACTACACCTGATTCTTGCCAGCAGATCCCACTCCATCCCACATTTGCCCTCCCCAGGGCACCTGGGGTCTCTTAGGGCACCCCAAAGAGTAGGGCTCTGTTCCAGAGGAATGAAGGAAGCTGGTGGGAGGAAGGCAGGCTACACCTCTGGGGTCTGCCCTCTGGGCCGGCCCTGCTGCTATCTGCATCAGTTTCTCCATCATGGGTTTAAGGAGAGATCTTACCTCCCCTCTGGCACCTGAGCAATCTCAGGGTTGATGAACTTGGGGCTTGATGCTGGGGTTCTGTCCTCACTTTGGACCTTAGTAGTTCAGGACTATGGACAAAGTCATCAACATCTTGGGCTTTAATTTTGTGATCTAGAAAGTGGGGCTAATGGTACCTCTCTGGGAGGACTGACTTGAGGACCAAATGGAGTAATCTCTGTGAATGTCATCTGCAAACTGTGTGGGTGAAGGAAGATTCAAAAGTCAGTTAAGGGCCTCCTTGGGATTCCCAGCCCCCCAGAGCATGATGGCGGCAGGCCAGGGAGCCAGTTGGGCAGGGTGATGGAGCAAAGGGAACAGGATGTCCCCACGTGTCCCAGGTGGACTCTGAGAGCCATCACCCGTTCTCCACAGCCTTACAGCTTCACAGAGACAGGACCAGGCATATGAAATGTGAATTTAGAGGTTTATCTTGCTGAATGACAGTGGATGGGGCCTTTTCCCCCCTGTGCCTGTCTGACCCCCCTTCTACCCAGTACCTACTTCCCACCTCTCTCCTCCATACAGGGCATTAACTTGTCTGGGGGCCAGCGGCAGCGAGTCAGTCTGGCCCGAGCTGTTTACAGTGATGCCGACATTTTTTTGCTGGATGACCCACTGTCGGCTGTGGACTCCCACGTGGCCAAGCATATCTTTGACCAAGTCATTGGACCAGAAGGTGTGCTGGCAAGAAAGGTGAGGCCTCCAGGAGGCTAAGGGACTAAAGGGAGATCTAGGGCCCTGGGAGAGAACTGGTGGGAGGCCAAGGGGTTTGGGTGAGACCTGAAGGTGTGGAAATCTGAGAAGCGGAAGGAGGGGATGGGTGGCTAGGGAAACCCATGTGGAAATCACAACCCAAATGCACTGAACCAGCTGCGGTGAGCAGGGGGTGCAGCCCCGATGCACCTGTCCGTACAGCCTGGCACACCGGCACCTCACACTCACTCCGTGGCCCTGTGCCTGTTATGGGGGTGTGTGCTGAGGGCGGTGGGGGTGACAGCATGCTGCCTTCTCCCCAGACACGGGTGCTGGTGACGCACAACCTCAGCTTCCTGCCGCAGATGGACTTCATCATAGTACTAGCTGATGGGCAGGTGTCTGAGGTGGGCACCTACTCAGCCCTCCTGCAGCGCAGCGGCTCCTTCGCCAACTTCATCCACAACTACACACCTGATAAGGGCAAGGAACACCCGGAGGAGGACAGCAGGACTGGTATCCCTGGCTTTCCATATTCCTTTGTCCCCTGTCTTGGCTGGGGAGGGCATCTCTGAGTAGCTGTGGACAGTCCCAGTGTTGTACAAGGCGAGTTCTGGGGCTCCTGGACCCTCTGTGGGTGGTCAAACATCACCAGGAGGGAAAGGGATCAGGATGTAGTCCAGCCCCTCCTCCTCCTCTTCTCTGCCTGTGCCACCTTGGAGCAGCAGCTCATTTCTCAGAGCCTCGGTTTTCCCATTTGTCAAAAGGGCATAGGGCCCAGGCCCAGCTTGTACAGCCAGGCCGTCTCTTAAATGAATTCTCTGGCGCATACGTAAGCCCTTAGCAATGTCATTTATTTATCAACAAATATTTATCGAGCAGTGACCGTGGCCAGACACTATTCTAAACACTGAGAGAACAGCAGACAAACAGACGAATCCCTGTCCTTACTGAACATACTGAAGTCCCTGGGCTTGGGAGATACCCCTGCCCCGCTGGCCCCTTGTTGTCCGGTCCCTGCTCCCCAACCCCAAACTCTGGGCTGCCTCACTGGCCTTCTCCTGGGTTTTCTTACCTACTGCTCCCTGGACAGCCCGTGTGTCCGGCACACCTCCCCAGCACCCTGTCCCTTGCTGACTGCTTGACACACGTCCGTTTCTTTAATTCTCACAGTGACATGATGAAGTGGGTGCTATTATTATCCCCATTTTAATGCCTGCCTTCAGTCGTGCTGTGCGGAAGGAGGATTTCGGCTCAGCCAGTCTGTCCTCAGAGCCCAAGCTCCTGACCCTTGCGTCTAAGTCCCCTTCTCCATTGCCCCCGATGGGAAGTTTTCCTTCTTTTCTAACCTAAGCCTTTCTTGCTGCCCTTTTCTTTTCCCAGCACAAAGTTGGTCACTTATTTTTGTCATTGTCCTTACTGCCCTTCCAGCCCTTGTCATCTAACTTATCTCACACTTGTCCTTTCAGGCATCTTCACTGGAGTAGGAATGGGGGCTCACAGGGAGCCAGCTGACCTCTGCCTTTTTCCTCCCACCCCCTGCAGCAGCTTTGGACAATCCTGAGGATGAGGAGGTGCCGCTGACTGAAGACTTGCTCAGCAACCACGCAGACCTGATGGACAATGAACCAGTCACGAATGAGGTCCAGAAACATTTGAACAGGTAGGCTCCTGAGAGCTCTTGGCCTCCTGCAAGGCTGTGTCCAGACTCCCCGTGCCCTGCCAGGTGGGGTATTCCCCGGACACTTGTACTCCAGGCCTCCGCTGCTGCCTACGTCCTCCACCGGGGGCCCTGTCTTGTGACCTCTGCTGCGGGCCTGACCAGCTGCCTCCACAGGCAGCTGAGTGCCATGTCCTTGGACGAGGAGGGCCAAAGTCGGTCTCTGCCCCTGAAGCCCCTTGGCTCAGCAGAAAAGATAGTGCAGGCAGCCGAGGTGGAGGCAAATGGGACACTGATTGAAGAGGAGAAGGTGGAGGTGGGCAAGGTGAGTAAGGTGGACTAGGTGGGCTGGATAGGGTGGGCAGGTCCCCAGCAGTCCTGGAGCTCACAGGATTCTTCTGTCCCTGACCACCATGGCCATGCAGGTGAAGTTGAACGTGTTCTGGGATTATGCCAAGGCTGTGGGGCTCTCCATCACACTGGTCATCTGTCTGCTGTACGTGGGTCAAAGTGCAGCTACCATCGGAGCCAGCATATGGCTCAGTGCCTGGACCAACGAGGCTATGGTGGATGGCAGACAGAACAATACCTCCCATAGGCTGGGTGTCTATGCTGCCTTGGGAATTCTGCAAGGTGAGGCTGCAGAAATACCTGGAAGGGGCTCCAGTGGTCCCCTTTTCACCTCTGAGCTGCTGAGTCCCCCAAACCATGCCCTTCTCTCCACCATCCCAGCCATTGTCCCTTCTCAAAGCCTCCCTAGCCCACAGTAGCGGTCCCCCTGCCTCTGAGCCTGCCTCTGCGCACCTGCCACCGGTGCCAGATGAGCCAGCACCCCCTGCCTCCTCCGACAGGGATCCTGGTGGTGTCGTCGTCCATCGTGATGGCAGTGGGCTGCACTCGGGCCTCGCGCTTGCTTCACCAGGTGCTGCTGCACAACAAGATGCGCTCGCCACAGTCCTTCTTTGACACGACACCCTCGGGCCGCATCCTCAACCTCTTCTCCAAGGACATTCATGTCATCGACGGGGTTCTGGGCCCCACCATCCTCATGCTGCTGAGTTCCTTCAGCACCTGCGTCTCCACCCTCGTGATCATCGTGATCAGCACGCCGCTCTTCACTGTGGTCATCCTGCCTCTGGCTGCCTTCTACATCTTCGTGCAGGTGCTCAGGGGGCGGGTGGGCGTGGCTGTCAGGAGGGCCGGTGCTCCTGTGGGTGGGACCAGGGGTGGGCTGCAGGGAGGGCAGGCCCAGGCACTTCGCAGCTGGGTTTGGTTAAGGACAGTAGTCCGTTACCTTCCCTCTTTGAAACTCATTTTTCTCACCTGTAGAATAGGGAGACTCATAGGGTCGCTGGTAGGATGAAATTAAGTCCTTGTGAGTCGTGGCTGGCTCCAAAACTTCTTCCTGCGGGCTATTTTTTTTAATAAAATATTGTTCACAGTTTGAGACACATTATCTTTTCCTTTGCTTTATACATTTCTAAATATGTATGTGTAGGTATGTTTTAAAGATGTGTTGATGACTTTCAGTATAGACAACTGTAAAAGGCGTTTGTGTTGCCGGGCCCCTGTCCTGCCATGAATGAATCAGTAGATGAAGGTCCGCACCAGGTGGCCAGAAGCCCCTGTGTGCAGAGACCGTGATGTGGGCTGCACTCCGTGCTGGGACGGGGGACTCTCAGACGCACATCGGGCACCCCTCTGGCCATGTCGGGGTCCCCAGGGTAGAGGAGGGGAGTGGGAGGCAGAGCCGTGTTTCTGTGGGGCTGAAGCTTGAACAACTGGATTGGGTCATTGAAGGAGGAAGAGGCTCTTTAAGAAAGGGCATACAAAATTATCTTATTTTTGCCAATTTTGCAAAAACATTTGACTGTGTGAGCACACTGCTAAAGCCCCTAAGTGGAGCGAGGCACATTCACTGACTTAGAAGGCCAAGCAAGGTCTGTACTATAATCCGGGCCCCTCAGGGAGTGAGGGGGGTCAGGAGCTGAGAGGGAATCAGGAAAGGATTTGTGGGCAAAGTGGCCAGCTTTTCAAGCTCCTCCTGAGCAGCGCCAAGCAGAGGAAGAGGGTGGAACGAGTTCAAGGAGCCATATCAGGCCCCTACGTCTTAGATTCTTTCGTGCCGGGGAAGGAAGCAAGGCCTTATGGGGGAGTAGGGATGGGTGGGAGGAGGCCGGATGGGTTCAGAGGGTATGCAGGACTGAGCTGGGGTTCCATGGTCCTGACCCCAAGCTTTTCCTCCATCAGCGCTTCTATGTGGCCACATCACGGCAACTGAAGCGGCTGGACTCTGTCAGCCGCTCACCCATTTATTCCCACTTTTCGGAGACGGTGACTGGCTCCAGTGTCATCCGGGCCTATGACCGCATCCAGGACTTTGAGGCCATCAGTGATGCTAAGGTGGACAATAACCTGAGGCACGCCTACCTCAGCTACTTCTCTAACAGGTCAGAAGCCTCCTCCCCACCCCAGGAACCTCCAGGAGCTCCCATTAGGGTCTCTGCAGGAGAGACCCTGGTGTTCTGGGTTCTAGCCCCTCCTTGCCCCTAAGCAGAGACCTGCCCCTTCCTGCACCTGCCCCAGTTCCTCCTTGTCCGATCCCTGCAGGTGGCTGGGTGTCCGAGTGGAGTTCGTGGGGAACTGTGTCGTGTTCTTTGCTGCACTCTTCGCCGTAATTGGGAGAAGCAGCCTGAGTCCAGGGATGGTGGGCCTTTCTGTGTCCTATGCTCTTCAGGTATGCAGGGGTCTGGACCCCAGGGCAGGGCCACCACTGGGGCAGAGGCCACACAAGCATCGAGGTGTCACCAGGATCTCCGGAGCACCTCAAGGTGCCCACTGTGGGGACCAGTCACAGGTTTCACTCTCCAGCATCGTGAGCTCACAGTCAAGCAGGGAGAGACAGTCCCACCAACAGGGGATTGTGATGCTGAGTGAGCAGGTCTTGTGGAGGGAGGAGATTCTCCACTTTGGGGAGTTGGAGAAGTTATCTTGGAGCTTGGCCCTAGCACACAAGCAGGGCTTGTCCTTTCTGTGCACAAGGTCTAGAAGGGCCATCCTGACAGTTCCTGGGGCAGAGAAGTGTGGGGCTGGAGTACACCTCCCTTCAGATGCTTGCAGAGAAAGTCCCTGAGCTAGAGGGTGGGCAGGTCAGTAACCGCAACTGGAATTTTGTGAAGCAAATCACATTTTCAGCACCTTGGGAGGCTCAAGTCTCGAAAGCTCTAGTAAACAAAGGACAGCCCAGGCAGATCAGTCTGCTCAACCTTCACGGTGCACGTGAACCACCTGGAGATCTGGTTGCAGCTCGGATTCCAATTCAGTAGGCCCAGGATGGGGCTCGGGGTCCTGCATGTCTATCAAGACTCCTTGCTCCGCAAAGCGTGGTCCAGGGACCAGCTGTGTCAGCATCATGTGGGAGCTCGTCAGAAATGCAGGACCTCAGCTTCGACCATAGGCCTGCTGAATCAGAAGCAAGGTTCTGCTGGGAAGTCTTATATATAGTAATGTGTGGGAAACTCTGGCCAAGGGGGCCCTGGGTTGAGTCTGCATTGTCCCTGCCTGAGGTGCAGTTGTGACTAGAGCCCCAGGTGGCACTGCTGTTGGCTTGCCCAGGCCCACATGGGTCATTGACAGAATAGGAGCATAATCAAGGAGCCACTGGGTGAGGGGAGAGATCACCCTATTTATGACCCAGTCCCTTTGGCCAGGTGACATTTTCTCTGAACCTGCTGATACGAATGTTGTCAGAGTTGGAATCTAACATTGTGGCTGTGGAGAGAGTCAAGGAATACTCCAAGACGAAGACTGAGGTGGGTACTGGGATGGGCCCGGGGTTGGGGGAGTCTGCAATAGCTGGGGAAGGGTGCTCAGTAGCCCACCGTCCTGATGCCCCAAAGCCATCTTCTCAGGCGGCTCCTTATCCATTCATTCATCCATTCAACCCTTACTGAGTGTCAACCAGAGGTCTATGGTGAGGTGCAGAGGTTTCCCAGTTGGGCAAGACAGGGTCTGCCCTTCAGCAGATGGAGTGGCAGAGGTGAGACATACTGCAGGGTGCTGGGGTGGAAGACCAGAGCTCGGGCGATGCACCCAAAGAGGCCCATTCAGCCGGGGTGACCAGGGAGGTGGCATCCAGCCAAGATGTCAGCCTGGTCAAAGGAGCAGTGGCAGGGCACCCTGCCCTTTGCTGAGGAAAAGGAGTTGGCCTCCGCAGGGAGATTTCTCTATTCACGCTCTCCCATGGCCGCACCCTGACCACTTCGTGCCCAGAAGCCGCATCGTCCAGGAGATCTCCATCAGACATCCCCATTTAGACCACCCATCCCGTCCCTCCCAGCTCGCATATTCCAAGCCCTCCAGCATTACAGTACCTTGTCCTCACTGGGACTCCCAAGCCTGTCACCTGCCTTTGTCCCTCTGTCCATCAGCTCATCTGGCCTGGACTCTGTGCTCCAACACCAGTGCCCTCCAGTCCCTTGCCCTTCTCTCTCTCTCTCTGCTGTCCTCACCTACAAAACCCTACCCCGGTGAGCCCACCCGTCTGCCTTCTGTATGCCGGCACGCAGCAGTGAAAACATTTGGAAAAAATCTCTGATTTCACTTCAAGTTTATAACCACACACCACTGCTGGGTATTCCTACTTTGCTTCTGCATGAGTTCCACTTTCAGAAAGATTTGTTTTGAACCTTCTTTCCCCAAACCCCCACATCTCGTTCCTCCTGTGCCCAGCCACCCACCTTGTCTGACATGCCGATGAGAAAACAGGCTGTAAGATGTGAACTCCCTCAACCTCCCAGACTTGCTATTGGTCCTTTTGCAGTCTTCTTCCTTTCTCTTTTGATAGCAAATGGCCCTCCTCATCTCAAAGCCACCCCCCGCCCACTTTTTCACATGGCCACTCAAGGACTTCACTTCCCCATGACACCCTCCACCTCCTGTGTCACCTGTCTTGCCCCCTCTGTTGGATGATTCCCAGCCACATGCAGAAATATGCTATCATATCTTCCATTCTAGACACAAGTTGACCCTTCCCTCCTCCTCCATCCTCCTGCCCCATTTCTCTGCTCTTCATGTCCAAGCTTGTTTTAAAAAATGGTCTACAGGTGCTCTCCTCATTATCGCTTAACTCAAGGTCCACCCATGTTGTCACAAATGGTAGCATGTGATCCTTTCTGGAACTGAGTGGTGTTCCATGGTCTATACCGTATTTTGCTGTATATAATGCGCACCCATGCTTTTGCGCACATTATATACAGGATTATTATGCCCATGTTATGTAAGCATCATGCCCATGTATAATGTGCATCCTTATTTTTCCCCAAAAATTTTGGACAAAAAGTGCACATTATACATGGCAAACTACAGCATGTGCCACATCTTCTTAAGCCAGTTACCTATTAAGGGACACTTCGGGTGCTTCCTTGTCTTGTGAAAGATGCTGCAATGACCATGGGGGTGCCTGTATCTTTGCAAATAAATGGTTTCCAATTTTGGGGGTAGATATGGTAACTCTATTCGTAACATCTTTAAAAGATTTATTTATGTGTTTATTTATTTTTAGGTGGAGGGGAAATGGGGGAGAGAGAGGGAAAGAAACATCAGTGTGTGGTTGCCTCTCACGAGGCCCCTTCTGGGGACCTGGTCTGCAACCCAGGCCTGTGCCCTGACTGGGAATCAAACCAGAGACCCTTTGGTTCTCAGACCGGCACTCACTCCACTGAGCCACAGCAGCCAGGCTCTATTTTTTGAGCAACCTCCATACAGTTTTCCATAGCGGCTGTACCAGTTTACATTCCCACCAGCAGTGAATGAGGGTTCCTTTCTCTCTGCAGGAGAAAGAGAAAGGGACCCTCTCTATGAGGGTCCCTTTTTCTCACCCTTGTTATTACTTGTGTTGTCGATAACAGCCACTCTAACAGGTGGGAGGGGGTATCTCGTTGTAGTTTTGAGTTGCCTTTCCCTAATACTCGTGAAGTTGAGCATCTTTTCATGTGCCTGTTTGACCATTTGTATGCCTTGTTGGGAGAAGTGTCTGTTTAGGTCCTTCCAGTTTATTTTAACACCCTTCCAACTAGTCGTTCTGTTTCCACTCTCCCCTCTTCCTTCACCTGGTAGCAACCAAAGGGGTCCTTGAAAAACATCAAATCATGTCATTCCTCTGTGCATGGCCCTCTAATGGCTCTGCATCTTAGAGTAAAAGATCTTAGTCCTTAAAATGGCCTTCAAAGCCTTACATCATGGGGCCACCCAATACCTGTCCCTTCCCTCTCACCTGTGTCACTGTTCTCCAGAACACACCTGGAGGCATTTGCACTTGCCGCTCCCTTTGCCTGACAAGCCCTACCCCCAGATATTTACTTGGCTCGTTCCCTCACTTCCTTCAGGTCTTTATTTATACATCACCTCCTCCAGGAAGGCTTCCCTGACCACTCTGCACAGAACAGCAACACCAAGCACTTCTTAGCACTCATCACCTTCTTATATTATGCAGATTTTCCTCTTTGTCAATCATATGCCCCTGTACCAGGATTTAATCCTCAGGGGAGCAAGGGCTCTGTCTCATTCACCACTGTGACTCCAGTGCCTGTCACGTTGTGCACAGTCAATAATAATGAATGGTGAAAGGGGGTCTAGGTCAGGGAAGGAGGGACAGCTCCAAAGTGAGCTGAGAGAGAACAGGAGAGGGTGGGATGGGAGGGTTTGGAGCAGCAGGTGGGGAATAAAGGCAGAGGGTAAAAGATTCACTGAACCACAAAGTGGGCCACAGAGGCACCGGTGACGCAGGTGAGGAAGGAGGGAGCCTTAGGAGACAGGGAGGCTGAAAGTGGGAGGGGCCAGGCTGGTGGAGAGGTGCCACCCTAATGCAGAATCCATCTTCCCCCATGCCAGGCCCCCTGGGTGATAGAGGGCAGCCGTCCTCCTGCAGGCTGGCCCACCCAGGGCGAGGTGGAGTTCAGGAATTACTCTGTGCGCTACCGGCCGGGCCTGGATCTGGTGCTGAAGAACCTGAGTCTGCACGTGTGCGGTGGCGAGAAGGTGCGTGTGGGCTGGGCTCGTGCCTGGGATGTGGCTGTACCCCTCGTGGGGACTGTGGGCCTTTGGGAGAGCAGATGCTCCGTCCCAGTTGTCTGCTTGGCCTCTCTAGGGGAGTCCAGGAGATGTCCCCACTGACCCCATGCTTGCCCCTGATTGCCCTTCCCCACCACCTCCAGGTAGGAATCGTGGGCCGCACTGGGGCTGGCAAATCATCCATGACCCTCTGCCTCTTTCGCATCCTGGAGGCCTCAGAGGGTGAAATCCTCATCGATGGCCTCAACATAGCAGACATAGGACTCCATGACCTACGTTCCCAGCTGACCATCATCCCTCAGGTAGGACCCTGACATGGACTGGCCACACTGGCCAGTGATCCCGGAGGGCAGACTCTATCCCTGTTCTGCAGCTTGAGGTCCAAGCCTGGCTAGAGAGCCAGGCTGTAGGAGCAGAGCCACAGATCGGCCACCTGTTACGGATCTGGAAGGGTCAGATGCGCCCTGGCCCTGTCAGACCCTGCCCTGCAAGCCCTGGGGCCAGCAGACAGAGCCAGAACCGTAGGACCCCTTCAGCACCCCACTCCAGAGACGTGCCGTCCCGGCCTCCTTGTTCTCGGCTCTGAATTACATTTCACTTTTTCTGGCTCCTCTGGGGTTTCTTTTTTCTGCTGACTGGACACTTTGGAGTCAGATTAGCTCTCAGGTCTCTGCTTTAAGCGGAGGACATTATGATTGGCAAAGCTGAGGTTTATCATTTCCCCACAGGCGTATTCTGTCTCCTCGGCCATTGCCTCCCTCCTGGAAGGCTGAGGACAGAGTAGGAATGCTTCCACCTCAACTCCCGTTATTTTTCCCTGCCTCTGGGGCCTGTGGCTCCTCGAGGGGACCAGGCTGCTTCCCTCTAAGACCTTGTTGTATTCCCAGGAACCCATCCTATTCTCGGGGACCCTGCGTAAGAACCTAGACCCCTTCGGCAATTACTCCGAGGAAGACCTATGGCATGCCTTGAAGCTGTCCCATCTGCACACATTTGTGAGCTCCCAGCCAGCAGGCCTGGACTTTGAGTGCTCCGAGGGTGGAGAGAATCTCAGGTAACGGCTGGGAGTGGGCGAGTCAGAAACAACACCCTGCCGAGCCAGGGGAGTTGGCACCAAATGACCCAGAGTCCAGGCCAGCCATCTCTCGTCCTCCCCACTCCCACCTGAGCCTGGGTGCGGGGGGTTTCATTTGTCTTGAACATACTTCGCATGCCAAGCGTGGTGCACCAGCTCACTGACTCCTCCCACAAGCTCCAGAGATGGTCCGTCGTCCTGCTTGGAAAATGAGGAAACTGAGGCAGTCCCAGAGTCACGTATGTGGGAGAAGGCATGCCTGGAATTTGAACCAGGTCTGGGAGATTCCAAAACCCTATTCAGAGTCTTATCCTGTAGGCTTTCAATGGCGCACTGTCATGGGGTTTGTGGGGGTGTGGGCTGAACCTGCGGAGCAGGTGCAAGGAAACCTACAGTGCTTTCGGCAGAGCATAGCTATTGCCCAAGATGGACGCAGTCTCGTCTGTAATTTATGAATGGGCAATGGGCGCTCCCTAGGCTTTTCTTTGCTTTCTTACAGCCGTAGATTTTACATGTCCAGCCCTGGGGCTGTGCATCAAGGAGAGCCAGAAGTCTCTGCTTACTGAGTCTTAAGGCTTCAGAGGCCCACACCAGTGTTGGCTGTGTGACTTTGGGCAAGTTGCTCAACCTCTCTGTGTCTCCTTTTTCTTTCACTTTAAAATAGGAAGACTAACAGTCCTAAACATTTTTGCACCATGCCGCCCAGTAAAAATTTAACGGGAGCTATGTCATGCGTAATTAAAATATTTTCTAGTGGCCACATTAAAAAAAAAAAAAGGAAAAAGAAACAAGGCAAAGTACATTTTAATAGAGTATTTTATTTAGCCCAATATATTGAAAATATTATTTTTTCAACATGTAATTGACATCAAAGTTATCAGGGTGGTTTATAGTTTTTCTTACTCAGTTTAAAATCCCATGTATATTTTTTGATCAACCACACACCCTGGTCCAGGCGACATGCTCGAGTGCTCCATGGCCACAGTGACCAGTGACTGCCATGTGGACAGAGCAGTCGTAGGGTCGTTGTGATTAATAGAAGGGACTTAGCCAATATACACTCCTGAGAAATTTAGCTGTGCTTCTTTATTCATGTTATCCTACTTGGTTCACACCCATGGACGCTCTCCAGACCTCAAAGACAGAAAGAAACAAAAACCTTTACATTTGCTCCGGACTTAGTAGTGCTCGCCACGCTTTGGCCCCCACTCTCTCGTTTAATCTTCACGGCAGTCCTGTGGGCCAGAAATGAGGCTCCACAGCGTGCAGTTATTTGCCCAAATCTGCTCAGCCAGCAAGGGGAGGAGGGGCAGGAACTCAGGCCCGTGGGATGTTTTGCCCAGATCTCTTTTTACTGCACTATAGCCACCCGTGGGATGCCCCTGCCTTGTAAGACTGACTGTGCATTTTAACAGGATTTTATTTCCACGGCTGTGTTGAGGGTAGCTGGCAGACAAGCCTAAGCAGGCAGAGCCTGCGCCCCAGAGTTGTTTCGGGGGCCATTCTCCTGTTCCTGCCGGCCATTAGCACCACCCCCAGAGCACCCCTCCATCCCATGCACGCCAGGCTCTGAGACAGAAAACTGGCTCCCCTCCTCCCTCACTGAGCTTGTTGCCTCTTTAAGTAGAACCTGTATCCTGCACCAGTCCCACCATAAATCAGCCCTGAATTCTATCTGGCGGCTCATTCTGCTGCCAAAACCTTCATTAGTTGCGGGAATGGGCCAGGGAGAGAGCCTGGCCTTCACTCCGGCTGTGGTGACTCACCCCTTTGGGAAGGGCTGAGGTATTTGTCCTTGGGCGTGGGGATGCTGCAGCCTCTGAGGCTGGGAACACAGCCTTGCTTTGTTCACTGGCTCTGGCTCCCAAGGTAAGAGGTTGAAGGTGTGCATCCTGCCCCTGCTCCACCTCCCTAGCGACTGGACGACTGGACACAGGGAGTCCCCGGGGTCTTTCCCTGCCCTGTCCCTTCTTCCCACAGCCCTGGCCTGTATTTCCCAGGGGGCTGGGAGATGACTTTGAACTGTGTGATGTGAGGCTCAGCAAGATGGCATGATGTGTGCAAATACCTGGGAAGAGCCGTTCAAGTGTGTTCTCACTAAGGCGCAGATGACAGAGTGAAGCGGAAATGTCATGGAACTGATTGAGGACTGAGAAGGGGGACGAAAGCAGAGAAAGGGAGAGAAAAGGGGAGGCCGCGTGTGCCAGAGGCAGACGGAGATTTCATTGTTGCTCAGCGCTGAATCTGCCCTTGAGGCCCCTCATTCATCCTGCCGAGTCCAGACCTCCACTCGACTCCCCTTCCAGGAGGACAGTGCTGAGGGGACATAAAAGAGCTTAGACAGAAAGCCAGTCCTGGGCCATTGGAAAGGAGTGGGAACAGAAACAGTCGGGAGAGCGAGGGCCAGGGGCAGGTTGGGGCGCCCAGTTGGAGATGTCTGCCTTCTCTGTTCTCAGTGTGGGTCAGCGGCAGCTCGTGTGCCTGGCCCGAGCCCTCCTCCGCAAGAGCCGAATCCTGATTTTGGACGAGGCCACGGCCGCTGTTGACCTGGAGACTGATGACCTCATCCAGGCTGCCATCCGCACCCAGTTTGAGAACTGCACGGTGCTGACCATCGCACATCGGCTCAACACCGTCATGGACCACACTAGGTGGGACACTGGAGCCCAAGCAGGAAGGGACCCGGTGGGGTCACCCGGGCCACTGGGGAGAGGCAGGCCGATGAAGGTCATCTGGACATGGGAGAGATGTGTGGCCTTGGGCAATTTGATAAACTTCTCTGAACCTCTGACTCTCAGGGTTATAGTAAACTGAATCGATGAAATGAGACCCCGGGAAATGCCAGTTTCCTCCCCAGCTCCTTACCGTAATGCTCCCTAGTACCGTTTTCTCAGAGGATCAGGGAAGGGGCCTTGTCCTCGGCATCTTAAGGCTTCTTTGGGCAACAGTGCATTCAGCCCCAAGGAAATACAGTGACCTATTCCCTCATTGTGCCCAATGTCAGAGTGTGGTGTTGGAGAACAGGGGAGGGGCTGGGTGACTCAGAAGCCTTGGGGAAGGGAGCTGGCATTGGCCCAGCAGGCTGGCCCCCCTGGAGACATGGAGCTCAGAGTGAGAACCAGGAGGCAGGATGCGGCCACAGACCCACGCTGAAGGAGGCAAGAGTCCACAAACAGGCCTTCATTCACAAAATACCCACAGGGCATGCAGACGCAGGGACGGGCACGGATGTGGCAATGGGCACCCCTTGTTCCTCTCTCCGAAGTGTCCCCACACAGCTCCCAGCGGCTTGCGCACCAAGCTGAGACTGCCCTGTGCTATGATCTGTAGGTTCCACCCATCCCACTCCCCGCTCACATCCAGGACCCACTGGGAGAAGAGAAGGGAGGATGGGCAGGAAGTGCTGGGCCCTGGGTCCAGATAAGGGGCAGGGCTGGGCTGAGAGGGTGTTTTCAGGCCCAACAGGAAATGGTTTTCACCAGCAGCCCTATGGGGAGAAGGCCCGAACCTACCAATGGGGTGCGGCATTGTTTATTCTAGTGGGCCTGACAGAAGCTAACCAAATAATCACACAACCGAACGTGTAATGAAAGCCTACAGGAAGGAAGCAGGTCTGTGGGAAGGGGGCAGGGCAAGAAAGCCAATTTACCCAGGGCAGGCGGGATACCTTCTTTCCCGAGGAAGGGAAGCCCAGCCAGGCCCTAAGGGATGAGGAGGAGTTGGGAAGTTGAGGAGGCGATGGAGTAGGGAGGGAGCTGGAAGTGTCAGGCAAAGGACACGGCCCATGCAAAGCCCTGAGGTAGGAAGGCACATGAGGCTGGAGTGCAAGGGGTGAAGAGGGCAGTAGAGCCAAAGGTGAAGGGGAGAGAGGGGCAGGCCCAATTACGCTGTACTTCCAGGACCAGCATAAAGCACCCCATACCCTGAATGCAGTGAGGAGCACCAGAGAGGCGGGCAGTCTCCTGGGCACAGGATGAGAAGTGTTCAGGCAGTGATGTCCACAGACACAATCCTTCCCAGGACATGCTTTGGGCACCCCGTGGTGGTGGTGGGGGGCAGTGTGGTGTATACCCTCCCGGCCAGGGGCATCTCCCCAGGCTTGGGAGAGCCCTTTGCACTCCCAAGAGCCATTGGGAAGGTTGGGAGAATGAGGGCCGGGGGCACTCCTGCCTCACCCTGGTGGCCAGCCTGTTGGCCTTGTACCAGGTGCACCCTGTGATTAGTCAATTCGTGGGATAGTCGAATGCCAGGCCTATGGTATGTATGTGGGTGGGGGGCGATCGGCCCATCGGCAGCAGCCAGGTTTGCAGCCGAAGCCCCAGATTCCCGTGTTGGGCTTACTGCAGCCCGGCCTCCTGCTGGGTGCCTTTGTGAGCTGGCACAAAGCAGATGGAAGCACACAGGGCCCAGCACACAGGCCGTGGCTCCCCACGCACAGTCCTGTGACCCCAGCTAGGGGAAAGGCTCATTAGGGAAGGTTTTCAGATTCCTGACTTGCAGAGATGAATAGGAACCTTGTGTTTGATCCCAGAAACTGCCTTATCTGCCAGGAGAGCAAATGGAGCAGCTAAAATAACCAGCCTTGCAAGTGTGCACATGTGGCGTAGTGGCCGTGGTGGGTGGGTTGGCTGAAGTGGGACGGTTGGCATGTCACTGCGGGGCCTGAGAGGTACCCAGAAGGGCAGGGTTGGGCTGTGAGGCCAGGGCTGGGCTGACAGAGACCTGACTGCTCCTTTTCTTTGGCTAGGGTCCTGGTCCTGGACAAAGGGACAGTAGCTGAATTTGATTCTCCAGCCAGCCTTATTGCAGCCAGAGGCATCTTCTACGGGATGGCAAGAGACGCTGGGCTTGCCTGAAACATATTCCTGGGATTTCCTACTGGCTGGAATTTCCTGTTTTTCTTCAGAAAGGGAAAGGACACCAACTATGTCTGCAGGGTGGACTTGATAGCAATTGCCAGGAGCATTTGCTAGATTTTTGCTCTTTGAAGCACTTCTCAGGATAACCACATTAAATGCCTCAGACGAGGAAGTGAGGCCCAGGAGGTGCCTGACATGCCCAAGGTCACAGATGGTTTGAGGCAGAGCCCAGACTAGTCCTGGGTCTCCTGATTCCGCGTCTCGTGTTGTTTTCCCACTGTGGTGCTTGCAGACATTTCATGGAATGACCTCCGTATCCCTGTGTGATTCATTGTATTTTCTAATCTGCAGGGTTTTTTGTTTTGTTTTTGTTTTTAAATGAAGCTTTTTCCTCCTGGAACAGAAGACTGCCAGGTCAGACTGTCCCTAGGAACCGAGTCCAGTACTCTGGAGTGCTGCCCTGAATCCACTAAAAATGGAGCACTGGTGTAATGAAGGTGGCTTGCGATATATACTTCGATGTAGGCTCTGTCTGCCTGGCCACAGGGGCCAGGACCAGGACCTCTGGGACAGGTGGGGAGGAGGGGAGAGAGGCGGAAATGGACTTTCATACACATCCACATGGCTGGAATTTCTGAAGACTTCAGACCCAAGAGCTTTGGGCTGGAAACACTGTCTTCACAGCCAAAATTCAGTGGGTTGTTGCCAGCAGTTCCTGCTCTGCTGTGCAGATACTATAAAAAGGTGAGAAATAAAGCCCCTGAAACCTGACCCGAGGCCTCTTGGGAACACTGCCATGAACACCTCCACGCTTATGTCATCCCTCAGACCTCTAAGCCTACTTCCCCAGGGGCTGAAAAGCGTGTGGTGCTTTATTTCCTTGCTCCTTCAGCCGTCTGTTCCAGACAGGTCCCCATAACCAGAGAGGCCTCCGAGTCATTCATCTCCCTCAGTCCGGTGAAGCTGAGCGTGGGGGGAGCACAGAGCGGCCCAGAGGCCGCCCTGCCCTGACGACCCCAGGCTGGTAAAGGAGATGGGGGTGAATTAAATTTGTATTCTCCAGCAAGCCGCTGTTTATTTTCTACCAGCCAGTCTGCCTGAGACCTTATCTTTGGATTGGATCTCTTCTCTTTGTTACCTTCCTAAGTTTTCTGGTCTCCTCTCTCATTTCTTCAGTCTTTATTCTTGATGTGATGTGACGACGAGCCACAGGGGACGGTTTTTCCTTCCCCCACTCTAAATGGTTTGCCGTGTAGGTGGAGATGGCTCCTCTGATCTGGTTTGCCGTGTGCGGCGGGTCAGCCTGTGCTGCAGGACCATTTGTTAAAGGTTAATCACTTTTTTTTTGGGGGGGGCAGGCTCTTTTGGCTCAGGATGTTTTATGAGTGTATGGAAGAAGACCTCCATCCCTGTGATAAAACAAGTATGAAAGCACAGATGCCCAAATTATTCTTCCTCTGCTTGGTACTAAGAAAAGGTCGCTGCTATATGCTCCCTGATTTATTAGACCAATTTGGCATGACACCTGCTTTGTGAGGCTCTAGCTGCCCTAACCCAACAGAAACGCAGATTCATTCAGCGCCATTCTCAGCTGAGGACCCGAGGGTGGAAAGCTGTTACTTCCTCTCTGGTCTTGGGAGTTTGCTTCTGAGCTCACCGAGGACCTGACAGGTGCTGACAGCCCAAAGGAGAGGCTCAGTTGTGTGGAGTAAATAGGATAATAAAACACTGTGGTTGATAGAGGATGACCTCCATCTAGCTGGCCCAGCGACTCCGGGGAGATGAAGCTGACGGCTGTGAACCGGGAGGAAAGGCACTGCACAGGTATCTGGCTGGCGCCACTGACGGGGCCTGAGCACCACAGCCGCAGCAGGATGGAGGTGGGGTGGTCTCTTCCATTCTTCCTCCAGAGCGGCTTGCCCCTGGACTGTGTGACAACTTGTGCCCCCTGCGATGGGAACGCAGTGCTCTTTGGGAGGCCGGTCACAATGAAAAACTATGGGCTTGGTCAGTTAATATTTAATTTTAATAATACTTGTTATATTGGAACAGTCAACAATGCACAAAGAAGTTATCTTCAGTGAATGTTTACACACAGTGTGAACACATGCTTTAAATATGCAGTGGAGGAGGAGGGGTGAATTCACAGTTAACAAAGCTAAAAAAAAATCTTTGTTATAAATTACACAAAGCATATAAAAATATTTCTCTGAATGCATAGATTTAGACTTTAAACTCACCCATAGGCAACTGCGTGGTCTCACCCTGCTGCCACCTGCAGGAGCTGCGGGACTACGGAGGACTTGATACAGAAGAGAGACCGGTGTGGGGTCCATGTCTCACCCGAGACGCCACGCTCCCGGCTCCCAGGGTTTCTTACACCCTGGAAATGCCCTGGGTGAGTCCTCTGTAGGCCGCCCCCAGCTGAGGGCCCCCGCTGCTTCTGACCTCTAACCGATCTGGATGGCTGAAGGGTTTTAACCCCAGTGATTTAGACATGAATTAATACTAAACTGATCTCCTTCAAGATAGAACAAATCTTAATTTTATCATTAAACTAACTTTTTTTTTCCAAAGGTAAGGGGAAAAAAAGGTTAGTATGTCTAGATAAGCTAGCTTCTGATTGGTTGGAACACAGGGGAGGTTTCTTCAAAGTACTTCAGAGAAAGGGAGTAGTGAGTAACCTTCACTCCGCACGTAGACACTGTACAAGGGTAAGTCGCCACCAGTAATTGCTGGGACCCAGCTGAAGTCACTGAACAGAGTGACTCCACGAAGCTGGCCTTGAAAACACCGCGACCTCAGCTCGGCATCTGGGCGGCAGCAGGAGGCCGTCATCTTAGCGCCACATTCTCTTCCCCTGACATCTTCTGCACATTCTCTCTCAAGCCACGTTCCAATAAACTTAACACCGGAGGCTGAGTTTCTTTGGACACTATAGGCACTATGGGAAAAACCTTCTTAAGACAGCAGGGGTGCCCTGCAACAGCTTCAAAGGCCTGCTCTCCAGCCTGTCTGTGTGCTCGTCCTTATTTCTAAAGTTAAACTGTTTATTTCAACGAGACAGTGGCTTTTCTTTTCACATTAATGACACTGAAGGAAAGGAGAAGAATCCTTGAAAGCATTCTTTTAAAAAATTCTTACGCCACGTTTGAGAGTTTAATCAGGTGTGTATTTGGTTTTTCCAGGGTGAACCTGGCAGACTCCCAATTGACTTTGGCAGGGATGGTAGTGGATTGGTGGGGATCGTGGGGGATCCTAAGATCAAACAATTTATTTACAAAAGCAAAGATTTCAGAGCTGTAAAAATCCTAGTAATTTCAAAATAACCTTTATCTTTGATATAAAAATAAGTATGTTAACTCCTTTAGTTCAGTTTCCCACAATAACCTCTAAAACAGCAACAGGTTCAGTCTCAAAAACTGCTCTTCATTTCTAATGGAAAACGAAAGTGCAGAACATGGACAGGCAATGTTTGTGCTCTTCTCATACAAGTAAACCCGGGGATGGCAGGAATAACTTCAGTGGAAAAAAAAAAAAAAGTGGTTGCTCTTTTGGAAGGCATCGGAGAGCCCTCTAGTGGCCACAAAGGGGAGTTAATGCAGAGATGACTGTCGCGATGGCTGGCTGGAGGGAGACAAGGGAGAAGCAGTCATGAGTGTTTACAAAGGAAAAAGTGCTGGAGGGGAAGCTCTTTTGGTTAACAGCCTATTTACAATTAGGTAATTGTATTCTTAAATACTTTGAACCTGAGTAACATTTATAAATATGTTATATGAAACCTCGCAGCCACAAGTCGCACTGAAACCCATTTGTCCAGTACCTGTGTTTCCCCAGTTTTCCTCTAGAATCAGTTCGCAGTTCAGGAGAGTCGTGAGCATGCAACACAAAAGAAGCGCACCCCGGCCCTTCAGGCGCACTGTCAACAGGAGTGACCAGAAACCGGCTTCGCTCCATCTCAGCTTCTGCTTAGACAACTCTCTTAACATGCTACGCGTAAAACACTGGGTACAGAACCGGCAGCTTCTGCCTCTCCAGACCACTTTGCTGTCACAGCTTTGAGCAACAGGTTTATTGTGCACCAAGAGGCGTGGGAGAATGGCACCACTGCTTGGGGGTCAGGGGCTTCCTACCTTGGCAGAACAATGTCAGTATGTACTACTCAGTGGCACCGGGGGCCTACGGGGCACCCAAGGCATGTAGATCGATGGCTTGTCCTTGGCCCAGAGGGGTCGAGCACTGTCACAATTCTCTGTGGTGAGAGTGCCTGCTGCATCAGTAAGTCAGTTTGGAAGCTCTCCTGTTGTAGCAAGGCCTTTCAGGCAGTGTGGATGCAGCACTTCTGAACAGAAAAGTATTTTCACTTATCGTTAGGACCAGTTCCAGCTCTTGGAAATCTTGGAGTCGAGCAACATCTTTGTCCTGAAACAGAAATAGGCTAATCAGATTAAGAGAAGCCACTTGTCTCTATATATTTGGTGTGCTGTGTTGAGTTGATACCAGTGACTTGGCTCATTTTAAAACCTAAGCAAAAAAAAAAATCCCTGTGGCAGGCTGTCAGTGATAGTACAGAAAAGTCCCCAGGGGCGCGAGCTGGGTTGGGACATGCAAGCCCTTACCAGCAGCTGCTATACAATCAGCAGACCTTGAAGGGAGAGGCAATGCAGGATCAGTTTTACTCGGCTGCTCTGAGAAGCCTATTCAGAAAATTCCCTCTGGTATCCTTCAACTTTCAAAAATGCAATGTCTACAGACCCAGTAGAGGGAAAGAAAGCTCAATGATTACATTTGGGAAACCACCCTTTCCTCCTTTTCTACTATCTATTCATTTCTTCAACTATGACTCACATAACCAAGAAGGAAACTGAGTATTCTCCAAATGCAAAAAGCAACCAACCACGCATGCTTAACTGATCTTTCCTTACCTTTCTTACCAGAGTATTGGGCAACTTTCTGATCTTCTCCACCTGATCTGGGTTAACACCCAGCTCACAGCAACTCACTCTGAGCAATTCTTGGTAGGTGAGCTCCTGTCGGTCCAGCTCGATTTCAATGAAATCATTTTCTCGAAGAGATGGGTTTTGAATCCGTACCTTGAGTACCAGCTCTAGAAAAAAAAGAGGGAGACATGTTAATGAATGGTACTGGCATAATCAGTTTATGTAACTTAAGATGTTTCCCAGAAGATGGTTATACTTAGTCATGTCTGTGCCACCTGGTGAGAAAAACTAAGCGCCATCAGTAAGATTCCCTCATGCCCAATTCTGGCTTTGCTGGCACAGTTTCCTGCATTGTCTTCTCTACACCTAAGACTGTGTGTGGTTCACAAAGTAAAAAGGGGGTGGCGGTGGGTTGGGGGAGGGACAGCAATCCCAACTATATAGAGGATAATTTATTTCTGCTGCTAAAATTATGAAGGTAAAGGCTTAAGGATGGGTTTGGGAGTTGAACTACATGTAAGCAGGAGAAGGAGAAGAGAGATAAAAGATATGGTATATGAATTACTCTGAAAAGATTTGGCAATTGTGGATCTAAAGATATTTATGAAATATGAAATTATTTGCATTAAATACAATAAAGGGCAAAAAAGCCATTAATAAAAATTAAAAGTCTAATTATAATTTGAATACGGGACACCTTAATAAGGAAGGAGTTTTGGTTTGGGGAGTAAACATCTTGCTGTACAAGGAAGTAAGGTAGTGCTTGCCCTGGCCCAAGTGGCTCAGTCGGTTAGAGCATCCACCTGATATGCCAAGGTTGAGAGTTTAATCCCAGGCAGGACACATGCAAAAATCAACCAATGAATGCACAAATAAGTGGAACAACAAACCAGTGTTTGTTTCTCTCTCTCTAAAAATCAATTTAAACACAAGAAGTAAGGTAGTATGCCAAGAATAATGGGACATGTCCAAGGGACACAGAAACTGGCTTGAAGAAGCTCCCTCTGGGCAAGTGTGGCATAACCAGGACATCAAAGTAACAGCAATGAATTCTAATCCAATAAATAGGAATCTATGAGTCTACGCTGATATAAATGGAGAGGGGAGAGCCCTTCTTTACAGTAGAATACCAACTAATAAAGAATGGCAGGAAATCTATTCTACAAAATAATTGACCTACACTCTTAAAAAAATGAGAAAATTTTCCAGATCCAAGGGGACTAAAACAACGTGATAACTAAAAGTTGTCAGTGACCCTGGCCAAGGGGCAGCAGTGGGGTCAGTGAAAATAGATCCAAGGCATTGTTGGGACACCTGACAAAATTTAAACAAGGCCTATGGATTAGAGAGCAGCATTATATATCAAGGTCACCTTGCCTAAACCTGATCATTGCACCGTATGTAATTATGTTAGAGACTCTCCTTACTCTTAGGAAATACACACACTGTTCAGGGTAAAAGGGCAAAAGGTTTTAATAAATAATCTGTGAATCTGAGTAAAGAGAGCTCCTTATACTAGTCTTGCAACTTTTTAATAAATCTGTAATTACTCAAAATGAGTAAGTAAACCCCATACCTCCCCCAAACCAGGAAGTAACGCACTAGAGCTCTGGATATTGTCTGCGCATGTGCAGAGGCTGTTTGCTGGCGCGGGGTTACCTTGCATATTAAATGGAAATGCTCCGGTGAAGAAAAATGGCTGGAATGCTGGCGCTGGTCCTGTATATGTCCCATTTTGAGGCTCCATGGACACCGGTGGCTTGGATGGGACAGAAGAGAACAGAGATCGACTCTGACTCACTGGTGGCTGACAAACAGGACCTGGTTTTGTGCTTTCTGGTGTTCTGAGGATGGCGGAGGGGGCAGACACATCCCCATTCTGAACCAGTGCCAAAGAGGGGTGGTCCCGTGGAAAAGCCCCTAGCAGGGGCGGCTCTTCAGGGGGGAGCAACGGAGGAGAGCCATCTGCAGGGGGTGAGGCAGGAGGCATGGAGGGGCCCCCATTCTGCAGCTGGGCCGAATCTTCTGCCAAAGGGGTGTAGATAAAAGGGAAGGCTGGGTTAGCCAAATAGTTGGGAACGAAGGGCAGTTCTGACTCCTTCTTCATCTGGGGGAGGTTGTCGCCATCATCATCATCTTCCACTTCAAAAGAAGAAAACACAGAACCATTACATAGCCCTTTAAAAATTACCGAGAAAAGGGTGTCTTGTGAAAGCTAGTGTCCTTTGGTATATGGTAAGTACTTTGGTCAGTGTTTCGTGCCTCTTCAAGCCAGAAGAAAAAGAATATTTTATCAGGTTTATGATTATCATTTCTATCATCTTAAATTTTACAGATTGAAAAAATGAAACCTTACAATGCCTACCTTTCCAGCAACAACACAGAAGTACCATCTCGGCACAGTAATACCATCTTTGCTTTTACGAACAGACTGCTTGTTTGAATGGCACCAAGAACTCAGCCAATACCTCAAGTCTTAAATCAGTTTGACAAAATCCAAAGCTGCCCCCAAACACTGACTCACCTCCCATTATCTTTCTGATGTCTCTTCTCGATGTTAGCTGGGCCGGCATTTCTCCTTTTGTGGTGAGAATCTCTTTGTCCGCTCCAGATTTTAACAGGTAAGAGACCACCTGGCCATGATTACGTTTACATGCCCAGTGTAAACAGGTCCTGTCCCAGAGAAAAGGGGGAGGGAAAGAGTGATGTCTAAAGAAGAGCAATGACTTGGAATTTAAAATTCTACACGATAGTAAATAAATATACGTGAGAGTTCAGCTAGAATCGGGAAACCAGGCTGGTAATCTCCACTTTTTTTCTTTTCAGAAAGCAGATGATCAAGATATTTAGTGTGCTTAAAATTTATTTTTGAATTTCATTTCTGGCCCTTGGGAGGAACTAATTTATCCTCGGAGCTGGAATTTCAGTGGCCTCCAGGAGGCTGACAGGCTGGCTGGCTGGATAACTCCAGTGGTATTGCTGAGTGTTCCCCTATCAGCATTGCGCATTAGGTTGTCCCAACCTCTTTAAAATACTTCTTTATAGTGCCACATTCCTTTTTTAGAGACTATTGACGCTTGCTTCATATGCGCCAGTTTCTTGAAGATTCAATATTATCAGGCAAATAACTGTCTCTTATCCAATAAGTTTGCTCTGACACTAAAATGATTATCACTACAAAAGACATTACTGTTTAAATCTCAGTAGCTTACTCCCTTTTCCTCTTTTTCGTTCCTTCGCACTCACAAAACAAGGGTTTCCAAATTTTCATTTTTTAAGAAGCTGGCTTCTCATTCTCTCCAGAAGGCTACAAACATACCTTCATCTGCTTAGATGTAGGGCACCACACAGACCTTAATTTCTAACACATTTTAAAAATGTACATCGACGACCAAAATGTCAAGAACTCTTCTACCATACTAGACTCAGTCCAGTAAAACTAATTATTTAAGGTTGTATGCATACGGGCCATGCATGCACTGAAGGGCAATCATTTTAACACTTGCTAGAAATAGAATTAGCATGCCAGCAAAAACTCCGTTTTAATAAATGAAAGGATTCAGAACTACTAAATTCATTCCCAGTTGTCAAAGCTGAATGATATTAGGGAAGGAAAAAACCTTTTTCCCAACTCTGTTTTGAAATGTCCCCATTTGCCGACTCTAATTGAACTGAGATAAATATCCTCAGAGCTTATAGACAAATACAGGTATGGCAAAGACTAGAACATATGTTCCATAGTGAGGATTAGGCCACTCACCTGGGAAATGTGATATCTAGAAAGGTCATTTGGTTTTTAGGAAAAAGCTGATTTTACCCTGGGTACCCTAACATTTATGGCTTATAGAAGGCTAGCTTGTCTGGCTGGCTGGGAACAGTCCTGCTGATGTTTCAGAGTGACATTCCACCAAATTATTCATTAGAATTTTATTATTCAGGTGTCTCGACGGTGCACTGTATGACAAAATGACTGCCCATGTGGGGAAAATAAAGGAAGAGTCCGGATCTAGACTTCTACAGCATAGGCTCCATGAAGATAAGGAAGTATCTGCTTGGACAAACAGGTGCTTAATGAACACTTGCTGAATGTATGAACCAAGGGCAAGGTAGATGTCCCTAGGAGTAGAAAGAGCCAAGGCATACTTGATTCTAGGCAAACTGCAACCAAGAGTGTGTTTGTGTGTGGATGTCTGTAGCATAGGCTTGAAAAGTAAATAATTGTAACAAGCTGGGAAGTATTTCACACCAGAGGCCCTGGGCATCACTTGGCAGTGCTGAAATTGTGGTTACTGAGCAGCTATGAACCGAAAGCAATAACCATCCTGCTTTTCTACGCTAGAGAGTAAGTTTTTCAAGGGTAATCTTCCTACCCTGTTAGCCAGCACACTGCTTATAAAATAAAGCATGGATATAATGCTTTCCATGTTGGACATTGGTCTCAAAGCAATGCATGTATTAACTTATTTAATCCTCTAAACAACCCATGAGTTAAGTACTATTATCAGTGTTCCCTCCATCTCACAAATGAAGAAAATGAGGCAGTCAGCAAACCAAGAGGCAAAAGAAACAGTATGCTTGGTGGTTATGAAGTGTCGTTAAGTGTTATAGGGACAATAAAGCAAGAAAAGGAATTAGGGGATGCCAGAATGGAGAAGAACATGGTGTAATTTATTTTATTTCCTTGTGATGCCTCTCCCTCCCCAGCTTTGAGATACAGTGGTGCAATTGTAAATTGAGGTCCAAGGGAGGCTTGGCCAGGTGACATCCAAGCTAAGACTTGAAGGAGGTGAGAGAGCAAAAGCATTTTAGATTGAAGGAAGTGAAACCACAAAGGCATTGAATCAGGGTTGTGCCTTATGTTTCAAGAAAAGCAAGGAGGCCAGTGGAGCAGAATGAAGAAAGCAAAGGGGTAAATGTAGAGAGGCACAGAGGTAAGGAGACAGGATCAGGGGACAGGATCAGGGGACAGGAGTAGAGACTGTAGGATCCTGTGGCTTTTATTCAGTGTGAGATGGGAGCCATGAAAAGGTTCTGAGCAGAGTGAAATGATCCAAAATACGTTATAAGTTAGCATCCCTCTGGCTGCTGTGTTGAAAAAAGACCATCAGGCACAAGGATGGAAGCAAGGAGACTAGTCAGGAGGTGACCGCTACGATCCAGGTGACAGACTGATAGTGGCTCTGCCCCAGAGGTGTAGTAGTGGAGCCACTGAGCAGGGGGCAGATTGTGATAGTAGCTGAAGGTGGACCTGGCAGAATTAGCAGGATGGCTGGGGGTGGGCTGCAAGGATGGCCAGAGCATGGGTCCTGGCTGGGGCTCCTCGGATGCTGCAATGAGGAAGACATCAAGGAGCGGGCTTGGGGCAGTTAGGGGGTGAGAGGAGACCAGGAATTCAACCTTTGACATGTTGAATTCATGGTGCCTATTAGATATCTGTCCTACTAACCCCTCAGGTTAACTGAGCACTGTTAAAAAACCAAAGTCAACAGAGTAAACCTGAAGATCTAATTGGCTTATTAATTTATGAATTGGGCACCATCTCATCTAGCGAACAGAAGGGAGCTCCAGGAAGTTGTATAGAATGGAAGGTTTTTGTTGGCAGAAACTGGCCAGGACAAGGAAGTTATTAGCATAAGGCAAGAAAGGATTTTTTTTTTCAGGTAGTGCACTTTTCTTTGGGGGCAGCAGGAGTCTTATTAGGTAGATAACCTCACTAGTGTTAATCAGGAAACTCCTGCTTTGATTGGTTTAAGGCCACATTTCTGGGAGAGGCTGCAAATGCAATAAAGTCTTGGCTTGTTGTGCTTGGGGCCTTGGGCCGGTAGTTCCTTTTTTTAACAGCACCTATTATATGGCCACATTACAGTTAGGAAAGGGGTTGGGGTCCGATGTTGGGTTCACTTTCCAGCTCCGCTAGTTATTGTAAGTTCTATAATTTACAATAACTTACTTAATCTTTCTGCAGAAATTATTTCATCTTTCTAGGTCTCAGTTTTCTCATCTCTAAAATGGAGAGAATAAAAGCTATGTCTCTGGGTAGCTGTGAATAAAATGTGTAAAGCGCTTAGAACCTTGTTTGTGCTACCAAACAAGCTCAGTAAATGTTAGCTATTTATATTATGCTTCATCTCATTAAAAGGTCACAACACTTCTGAAATAACTGGAAAATGAAGTGACTCCAGGAGGCTCCACTAGGCAGGAATGGAGATGAACCTGCAAGAAATGACCAGGCTCAATACTGCCTCCCAGTGCCAGAACAGTGATTCACAGCTCGAGAACCACCCAACAATGCTCAAAAAATAGAAACACGCTGAACTGCAAACTTGTTTGCACACACTTTTAAACAAAACAGCAGTATCTCCTGTTTCCTGGCTTTCTCAAGTGCTACTCAGGCTTTTTTCTTTTAGAGTAAGGAGAGAAATAGAATTGTGAGGAGTCAGAAAATTGTGGTTCTGGTCCTGGCATCATATTGATAGCTGTGTGACCTAGGGCAAGTTATTCTCTGGAGCTGACACCACCTGCAATGTCCCTTTCGGTTCCAAATGTATGATTCCACTTAAAAAAAAAAAAAAACCACTTGCAAATTCACTTTAAGTCTAAGCTAGCAAAATAAATGTAAATGTGAAGAGCGCGGATTATACCACATTCAGTAACTTGACACTAAAATTTTGACCACCAACACATCTAAAAATGAGACTCCTTAGTTAAAATTGGGGTGGACTCAATTGCAGGTAGGCATCTAAAGCCTTGGATCAAATTCTCTATCTGAAACTGTAACAGGAAAACAAAGCAAAACTCTCTATAGCATAAACGAAAGAATGCGTCTTCCCTCAACAGGCTGCTGTAGGCAGCAGCAACCACTGCTGCAGCGAGAAAACAAAGCAGAAGTGATGCAAGTGATTTTTTTTCCTGATCTTGAGAAAAGAAATCGTGCTAGTTTATAAGATTCACGTTTGCTCAGTTGCTTATGGTTTTTGCTCTACAGATATGTTGTTCTTCAGGAGCACCTATGGCAAAATAATTCAACACTTGAACTGGGGTGAGCTCCAAATTAGCCGGAGAACCAAAGCCAGCACCGTTCAGGCGAAATTAGCCAGGGGATGCGGGGGGGGGGGGGGGGCGCCAGGGGTCAGGTGGGCGCTGCCGGGGGAAGCCCACGTGGGCCAGGATTTAGGCAGGTCGTGCGCCTGACTACACCAGGTCGGGGGCGGGGGGGCCTGGACTAGCCTCAAGAGCGCACAACCTTAGAGGCCCCAGGCGCCAGGCCACGCCTTAGCTGGCGTCGCGGAGGTCACGGGCGACCGCCCCACGCTCCGGCTGGCTGCTGTGACCCTGGTCTTTCCCCGCTCCCCACTTACCAGCCGTTGACCTCATTTTGGGAGTTCACATCCACCCCGCTCTCCACCAGTTTCTGCACCTCCCGAATGTCCCCCAAGGCCGCAGCCTCCCGCAGCCTCTCTTGCTGCTCCTTCTGCTGTAGGAGAGCGCTCATCTTCCCCTCGGCCCCAGGCCCCCGCCCGCGCCGCCCCGGGCCTGTCAGCGCCGCCGACGCCGCGACCCGCCCCGGGCCATGGGGATAGAGCGCTGGGCTCGCCCGCCCTGCTCACGCCGCCGCCCGCTGCTCCCCTGTTATGCAGGCCCGCAGGCCCAAGCCTCCTGCCTGGCCGCACCTCCCGCTGGCCGGCTCCGGGGGACCCTATTCAGAGTGACAACACTGACCCAGATATTTTCCGTTCCTACCCTCAGTCCGGGCGCTCGGGCCGGCTGTTTATGTAACTGCTGCACAATACGATCCGCCGTGATTCATGGACTATTTTTAGATCTCCCCATCCCACAGCTTCAAGGGAGGACAGACACATGGAAAGAAAAGAAAGCATATGTGAAAGCCAGAAAAGCCTCTGGCGCAGGCTGTTTACCAGGCATCAAAAATAATCGGTGGTTTTTTTTTCCCCCCTTCCAGTTCGTTTGGCTCTTTTTCCTTATCAGAGCCAGCCTTCGCCCAGCAGGATGGGGAAATGAGCTGAAAACCATCCTACTATTATAGGCCCATTATTGCAGAGGCAGATTACACTGTCTTTTTTCTTTTGACAGGGCTTGGGACCATTCAGTTCGAATACTTATTTCCATGGTTGTTGTTTTACATCTCATTTCTTCTAACAGGGATTTCTTTTAACTTTAAGGGGAAATATTATTATTGTGCCTAGAGTCTTTAAACTGTAATTTATCACTGCTTATAAGTCAAAATTAAGGACTCTTCACGAAGGTCATGTAAAGAAAAAAGAAAGAACACCAAAGAGGCTTTTTTGGAGCTGTCCCGGTCCTGATGGCAGGATCTCCAGGGAGAGCTATGGTGTGCATATAAACAGCATTTTGCCTCTTTGCCTAGTCAGTCTAGTGAGGTTCAGAGTCTGGTTGGCACTGAAAAAAAAAATATTGTTTTGCTGAGCTCAGGTGCCTCTGAGAGATTTTCCAATGTGGCATGGAATGGAACTTGCAGATGGGGTCAGGAGGATTAAGGAAATAACCCTGCTGTGAAAAGGAGGAAGGCCTGAACAAAGAGAGGAGATGAAATAGGAAGGGACAAATCTAGGCCTGGAGTTTTCATTTCCCTCTCTTGGGGCTGCCCAGGTCCTGCCCGGCAAGCATTTTTCTTGCTACTGTTTAAAAAAGCCACCATATCTCTGTTTATTATGATTAAGTAATCCACATAGTACACAGTGCACACCAGGTGGTGCTGAATATCAATCAACGAACTGCGAATTTAAATTGACCCCCAGGGCAAATTGGAACTCTGAGCTTACATTTTTCTTTGTCCGTCAATTTAAATATTAGTTCTCAGACTCAGCGTGGTAATTCACATGCATGAGACTGAAATTGGGTCCTTTAACACAATTTGAATGATGTGGAAGTCGGTAGTAGCATCTTAAAAAAAAAAAGCAGTGTTAAAAAATTGGTCATGACTGCACTCAAAAGCCTGTGAGTTCTTGTTATAAGAATTTGTTTGTCGAATTTCCCTTCCTTAAAAGGATTATAGAATGTGCCCTCCAATAACATTCACTGTTGAGTCAGTGAATGTTAATATCTTCTTAAACTCATCCTCTATTTAGCTATGACTCCTTTTTTTTTGCTTGTTATTCTCACATATAAAAACAAAAACAAAAGCAAAAACTTTCTCTACAAACGAAATCTCTAATCTTGCCATAAGTGAATGCAAGCCAATGGCTATTTCATTGCTTCGTTTATTCATATTTTGTCTTATCTCTAGGGAATTATCCAATTCACTGGGTTCATTAATCAGGCATCTTTTGCTGGGCGTTGATCTAGTCACTGGAAATGCTGCTGTAAACAAATCAGAGTCCCTGACTTCAAAGAACACACAATCTGGCAGGGGGGAGGACGCAAACAACAGAATGTCATGAATATTACAATAGAAACAGTATGGCATATGGCATAGTGGTTGTGAGCAAGGAGATTTAAATCAGATTGCCTTTGTTCGTATCCCAGCTTTGCCTTTCATATAATCTTGGATGAGTTACTTAATCTTTCTGTGCCTCAAATTCTGTATCTGCAAAATCGGGATGATAATAATAGCGCCTATTTTGCAGGACTGTTCTATGGGTCAAATGAATGAATATGTGTAAAGCCCGTACATTGGGAACACTTAATGGATTGTAGGTATGTGCCAACAAATGAAGTCAAGGAAGAGTCCCTGGTAGGATGGAAAGGCGATAGTGGTCAGAAAACAAGGGTAGTACCCATGTTTCTGGCCAGGTAGATAATACTGCTATTTACTGAGATTGGAACAAAGAATGAAGAGAAGGTCTCAAGGATAGTGATGAGTTCACCTTTGAATCTGTTGAATTGAGCTTTCTGAAGACCTTTAATTACTACTATTATCAACACATTGCTAGGCACTATGCTAAGTGCTATACATGAATTATCTATGAATTACCTTATTTAGTACCCACAACAATCCTATAATTATCGTTATCATTATTATCTGAAGCACAGAGAAGTAAGTAACTTGCCCAATGCCATGCAGCTTAGTGAAGGAGCAAGGATTTTTTTTAATTTAATTTAATTTTAATTTATTGATTTGAGAGAGAGAGAAGCATCAGTTTGTCATTCCACTTATTTATCCATTCATTGATTGCTTCTTGTATGTGCCCTGACTGTAGATCAAGCCTACAACCTTGCACATCAGGACGATGCTCTAACCAACTAAGCTACCCAATCAGGGCAGGAAGCAAGGCTTTGAACTCAAGCAGTTAGACTCCAGAGCCTGTGCTTTCTTTTCTGACTTTCATTTAAGTGGAGATGCCCAGTAAAGAGTTGTATATATGAGTGCGACCTTTAAGAAGGAGTTCTGGGCTGGCGATTTGGATTTGGCTGTCATCAGCAAAAGGTGTTAGCTGAAGTCATGGGAATGGAGGAGGTGGCCCCAAGACAGTGTATTGAGTGCTGAGAGAAGACAGCCAAAAATAGAACCCCAAAGAATACCCAACATTTTAATGATAGACAGAAAAAGGAGAAATCCTCAAATGAGACTGAAGAGGAGCAGTTGGAATAGTAGGAGGAAAAGCAAAGAAGTAGGAGGGTTTGGAGAAAGGAGGGTGATCCACAGGGTCAAATGCTGCAGCAAAGAAGACAAAGAAAGGACTAAAAAGTATAGAATGGGTTTATCCACAGGGAAATTGCTGGTGACCTTGGAAAGGAAATTTGCAATGGAGTGGTAGGGATGGCAGCCAGAAAATCAATAGGGTTAGGAATGAACTGGAGCTACCTCCCACATGTTATATACTATGTGGGAATCTGGATATACAAGGATGAATGAGAGATGATGCCTGACCTAAAGAAACCCTTGCCTAGTTCTGTAGGCTAAAAGTCCAAGATCAAAAGTCCAAGATCTTGCTGCATCCTCACATGGTCTTTCTTTTGTTACTCATCCCTGCTTTCTCTCTGTGTGTCCAAATTTCCTCTAAAGACACTGGTTAGATTGGATTGGGGCACACTCTAAAGGCCTCATTTTAACTTAACCACCTCTCAAAAGGCCCTGTCTCAAAATAGAGTCACATTCTGAAATACTGGGGATGAGGCCTGGAATTCTTTCCTGTCCACTTTCTTGGCTGGAGCTGTATCATCTTTTAGGTCTTAAGTCATTTCCACAGAGAGGCTTCTTGTTTACTTTTGACAGAGCCCTGCTTTTTCCCTTCATCATAATAGCTAATGATTAAATGGTTTCAAAATGTGTTGGGCCTGTTCTTCACACCTTACATTATATCAATTCATTTAATATTCACAATAACAATAACTTTGTGTGTGTAGGGGACTATTATTATTATTATAAGCCCCATTTTTGCTGTTAGAGAAAGAAAGAATGGCAGAGCTGGGATTACTAACCCAGGGGATCTGAGTGTGTAGCATCCATACCCTTACCACGATTTATATTGACATATTTGATATTATTTCCTTAGTGACTGTCTCCCTCACTAATCCTCAAGGTCTGCAGGAGCAAGGACTGTGTCTGAAAAGTTCACAGCTTAGCAACAAGCTTCAAGAACTTACCTGGCACATGTTAAGTACTCAGGTAACTGTTGAATAAATGAATCTATCTATACATATATTTAATATATTTTATTAATTATGCCATTACAGTTGTTCTATTTCCCCCCTTCATTCCCCTCCACCCTGCACACCCCCTCCCCCACCATTCCCCCTTTAGTTTATGACCACATGTCTCAATTTCTTTAGATTCTATATTTTCCATACTATTCTTGCCCTCCCCCCTATCTATTTTCTACCTACCATCTATGCTACTTATTTTCTATACCTTCTCCTTCTCCCACTCCCCTGTTGCTAACCCTCCTTGAGATCTTCATTTCTATGATTTTGCTCCTGATCTAGCTGTCCTCTTAGTTTGCTTTTGTTTTAGGTGTGGTTCTTAATAACTGTGAGTTTGCTGTCCTTTCACTGTTCATATTTTTTATCTTATTTTTCTTAGGTAAGTCCCTTTAACATTTCATAAAATAAGGGCTTGGTGATGATGAACTCCTTGAATTTGATCTTATCTGAGAAGCACTTTATCTGCCCTTCCATTCTAAATTAAAGCTTTGCTGGATAGAGCAATCTTGGATGTAGGTCTTTGGATTTCATGACTTGGAATACCTCTTTCCAGCCCCTTCTTGCCTGTAAGGTCTCTTTTGAGAAATCCATTGACAGTCTGATGGGCACTCCTTTGTAGGTGACTGTCCCCTTAGCTCTTGCTGCTTCTAGGATTCTCTCCTTCATTTTAATCTTGACTAATGTAATGATGATGTACCTTGGTGTGTTCCTTCTTGGGTCCAACTTCTTTGGGACTCTCTGAGCTTCCTGGATTTCCTGGCAGTCTATTTCCTTTGCCAGATTGGGGAAGTTCTCCTTTATTATTCGTTCAAATAAGTTTTCCACTCATGGCTGTTCCTCTTCCCCTTCTGGTACCCCTATAATTAGAATGTTGGAGTGTTTAAAGATGTCCTGGAGGTTCCTAAGCCTCTTCTCCTTTTTTTGAATTCTTGTTTCTTCATCCTTTTCTGTTTGGTCATTTTTTCCCTCTTTCTGGTCCACTCCCTTGATTTGAGTCCCAGTTTCCTTTCCATTACTATTGGTTTCCTGTGTATTTCCATTC